TGGGATCCTTACTCCCATTGTCAGAGAGGCCTTCCTTCAGGCCGGAGAGAAACAGGTACCGCAACAACCCAAGGAGGATGCAGCATACTTCAGAGTTTGGTATGGGCTTCTATAAGATTCCGAAGATTTCAAAGTTCCACTGAACAGAGTCAAATCAGTGCATCGTGCCGGACTACCACCATTATGAATGCAATGCGGCTAAGTCGTACAACGCAGTCATTGGAAACATGGTGCGATTTGTAATTCGGGGCTTGAAACACATGGTAGATGTAATCACCGATGCAAATGCAGCATGCAACATGCTCAACTGCTCAACAGGAGCCAGTCGATGTCGCACCCTGGTTTCCGCCATTCTTTATTGAACCAGCTTCGAATCAGCTCTCTAAATGCGCAGCCTCGAGGAGATCCGTATTGGAATCTGCTCTCAATTCTGGCACAACATCCAGCTTGGAGAATGATGGATTCTACGGAGTCCTGTCTTGCCTGGTAACCCATGTTTTCCATTGGGCCAGGACGAGCCGAATGAATCTCAAGCCAGATGAGAATCAGCCAGCTAACCAATGATCAACTTCTGGTCGTCCAGTGATACAAATTGGCATCATCCGCTCCTCGCAAATATATCGATGTCATGTGTGAGAACAGCAACATCTCCGAGGCAGCGTTGAAACGGAATCATCCTAATAACATATGACTTTCCGTGTCTGTTCGCTCCGGTTCGCCGGAATTTCTCACCATGATTCTTGGTACTGTCACAGTCTTTCTGTAGATGCCGTGTACATATCAGCAGATTCTAACTATGAGCCCTCAAAAGATACTTGTGTCCGTCCTCGAGTGTGTTTCGGAACACAATAATTTGAAGGCTACGGTACAGTAACCCAATGTGTTGCTATTGCACAAACTCCGTATATTCAGGCCAAAGAGCTGAGTGACCCAATCGCTCGCTGGCATATTCTTTGTAATCTGAGATTCCATGAGTGAAAAGAAATTCGTGTCTGTTTGTTTCTTATTTTGTTCTGTGCTGGTGTCACATGACCCACTCATGAAGCAATCTCTTGTATGCACGGCTCAAGGCCTGCTGTATAGCTCAGCACCTGTAGCAACAGTGTAAAAAGGAGCCATCGCTTTTTTGATTGTGGAGCACCGCATTGTTTGATCCTTCAAGGACCAAACACTGCCTTATATTTCATACTGTGGTCGTTTTCCTCTTCACAGATTTATTCCTCTTGCATCGGACCTACGAGGTGTATTGCTGGCCCTATTGGGCCCCCGTATTTACAACCTCAGGGGGGGGGAGAACTCGCGGCTCGATATAAAGTAATATACCATTTTCTCCAACACCCAAGTGCAGGGATAAAATGTTTGCATGGGTAAAGCTTCAAATAAAGACCCTGAGAAAACAAAAGAAACTGAGATGCCTCACCGATTTGGAGGCAAACCCATCAGAAGATCCCCTCCGAATTTGGCTCATCCGACAGTTGTTTTCGCAGGGTGGGACTCCTCGCCGCCGTGCAACTGTCTTCACTTTTGGCACACCCGCTCATGCGTATCACGTCATATCTGCGCGCATGCTGGCCAAATGTTAAGCACACCCGCTCACGCGCATGGTGTCATAAGTGCACACATGCTGGCAGATGATAAGCGCAGCCGCTCATGCGCATCGTGCCATAAGTGCACACATGTGGCAGATGATAAGCACAGCCGCTCACGCGCATCGTGTCATAAGTGCGCACATGCTGGCACATGATAAGCACATCCGCTCACGCGCATCGTGTCATAAGTGCACACGTGCTGGCACATGATAAGCACACCCGCTCACGCGCATCGCGTTATAAGTGCACAGATGCTGGCACATGATAAGCACACCCGCTCATCATGTCAGAAGTGCACACATGCTGGCACATGATATGCACACCCGCTCAAGCGCATCATGTTATATCTGCGCGCATGCTGGCCAAATGTTAAGCACACCCGCTCACGCGCATCGCGTCATAAGTGCACACATGCTGGCACATGATAAGCACACCCGCTCATCATGTCAGAAGTGCACACATGCTGACACATGATAAGCACACCGGCTCAAGCGCGTCATGTTATATCTGCGCGCATGCTGGCCAAATGTTAAGCACACCCGCTCCAGCGTATCATGTTGTAAGTGCACACATGCTGGCACATTATAAGCACACCCGCTCACGCGCATCGCGTCATAAGTGCACACATGCTGGCACATGATAAGCACACCCGCTCATCATGTCAGAAGTGCACACATGCTGGCACATGGTAAGCACACCGGCTCAAGCGCGTCATGTTATATCTGCGCGCATGCTGGCCAAATGTGAAGCACGCCCGCTCCAGCGTATCATGTTGTAAGTGCACACATGCTGGCACATTATAAGCACACCCGCTCACGCGCATCGTGTCATAAGTGCGCACATGCTGGCACATGATAGGCACACCCGCTCAAGCGTATCATGTCATATCTGTGCGCAAACAGGTCCGAAAACTTTTCGACGTTTGAGGAGGGGATGCTAAACGTTTGTTTCGCCTAGGCGAAATACTTCGTTTTGGGAATCTGCCCTGCGAAAACCCATATAAAATGCATTTTGCTGAATCATTGGCTGCGAGAGAGAACGTGGCAGGCGTGGGGGACGGGCGATGTCAGTTGATGTTCTTGTAATGTGGTTTCGCTTGCCTTCCACGGCGGCGAGGCGTTCCACCAGCCTTGTTTTCCTATTTGTTCCTCTTCCGGCACAAGAAGATGGGCCGCGCCTCCGGGGAGGGAGGCCCTAAGAAGAGTCTTGGGGTAGGGGGGACAAACCGAAAAAGGCGGTTCCCCCAAAGGAGTTTGGTTGTTCCCAAAGCTCTGTATTCTTCAGATGTCTGCTCTGCATCTCTTGGCAATCCTTCCCCAATGAGGCTTGCAGGGCAGAAGTGCCCAAATTCCCTGGAACCTCCAAAACTGGCCATCCCAAACCCAAATTGGCGAATGATGGACTGAACAGATGTCGTTTTTTTGAGAAAACCCATCCTGCGCCATTTTGTAAAAAAAATCGGGGCCATGGCCTGTTGTGCATTGGGCGACCGGCTGGTTAAGGGCATTTTTTTCAAGCAGTGGTTGGTTATCTGGCCGTTGCCCTTGCAAACGACGCGCCCCTCAAAAACTGACATCAAGTGGTCTATGCTGCACTCTCTCTCTGAACGGATTCTACTGTGAGTTCCAATCAAATAAAGCAAGAACGCAAAAAACGCAAGCAAGCAAGCAAAACCGCAAGTCAGTTAGCGAGTGAGCTAGCGAGCAAGCAAGACCGCAAGCCAGCCAGCCAGCCAGCCAGCCAGCCAGCCAGCCAGCCAGCCAGCGAGCAAGCAAGCAAGCAAGCAAGCAAGCAAGCAAGCAAGCAAGCAAGCAAGCAAGCAAGCAAGCAAGCAAGCAAGCAAGCAAGCAAGCAAGCAAGCAAGCAAGCAAGCAAGCAAGCAAGCAAGCAAGCAAGCAAGCAAGCAAGCAAGCAAGCAAGCAAGCAAGCAAGCAAGCAAGCAAGCAAGCAAGCAAGCAAGCAAGCAAGCAAGCAAGCAAGCAAGCAAGCAAGCAAGCAAGCAAGCAAGCAAGCAAGCAAGCAAGCAAGCAAGCAAGCAAGCAAGCAAGCAAGCAAGCAAGCAAGCAAGCAAGCAAGCAAGCAAGCAAGCAAGCAAGCAAGCAAGCAAGCAAGCAAGCAAGCAAGCAAGCAAGCAAGCAAGCAAGCAAGCAAGCAAGCAAAGCAAGCAAGCAAAGCAAAGCAAAGCAAAGCAAGCAAGCAAAGCAAAGCAAAGCAAAGCCAGCAAGCAAGCAAGCAAGCAAGCAAGCAAGCAAGCAAGCAAGCAAGCAAGCAAGCAAGCAAGCAAGCAAGCAAGCAAGCAAGCAAGCAAGCAAGCAAGCAAGCAAGCAAGCAAGCAAGCAAGCAAGCAAGCAAGCAAGCAAGGAAGCAGCAAGCAAAGCCACTCAATACAAACTGTGGGCAATGACCAAGCAACTCACGCGCCCTCCTTGCAGTTCGGGCTTCGCTAGCCATCCAACAGGAATTCTCCACGGACTTACTGCGCTCGCCCAGCGTTTGCCACCCGCGCCTGAAAGACGACATGGTCGGAAGCCATGGCAACGCAAGCGCCGCCACTAAATTTTGTGAAGCGCCCTTATGTTGCCATATTCCCTTCTGTGCAAACAACGGCTTCACCAAATCAAGCGGCGTTCACTTGATCCAAATTCGCCTCAATTTCTCGCCACGGACCATTGGACCACCAAACCAGCCTTGGTTTTCACGGCTTCCGGTGCCTTTCTGTTCCATCTGTCTTGTTTCACAGGTCATCCACTCCTCGCTCTGGCCTGTGGGCTTCGAAAATCCCACAGAAAGCAGCAGTACACCCAGTGGCTCGTGTTCCTTTTGGTGGTTTGGAAAGGGTGGTTCCTTGGATACTTACTATATATAGATTACATACTTCTTGCTAGTCAAAAGGAACTGGGATTCAAACCCCCAAACCACCAATCCAAACCACCAATTAAGGAGCGCCTGAATATAGGCAAGTCGAATCGTCGGGACAGTGATGAGTCATTTCCCAGGACTCTGGGCTTCATCGATCGGCAATCGATTATTTGCCTTGGTTGTTTGCTTCTGAGGGCAACCACGAGTTCTTGTTCTCATTTCAGGTGAAAGGTGTTTGGAAGAAAATCCAAAAGCAACGCGGAGGACCCATTCGGACAGTCGAAGCAAATTTTAGCGCCTTGCTGAAGCCTCCTTGTCTCGTGTGGTTTTGGGATGTTGTGGGAAACGAGATGGGCCGTTCTCCGAATACGAACACTAAGCCAAGCAGATTGTCCGCTAAGGTAGACAGCACGGCGCAGAACAAGTGACCTGGGCTGCCCTCAGATCCCGTGCGGAAAGATTAACATAGTGGGTTAAATGGAAACCCCACAAAACCCCCAAAAAACCCGAGTCATGAGCACAGCAGCCAATTAGCTCCACTAGCCGCTTTTTCTGTGCGGGCTTTGAAGCTCGAGATCGTGCCTCTGTACAACACATCTCTAGTGTTAAAATCCCCCTGCCTCGTGCTGGATAGCTGTCATGCCTAAGCACGAGCAAAATGGGGGCCACAGCCACCAGCGGTAATTCCCTGTGGGCTGTTCCGGCTGGAGCACAAAAATAGGCGTGTGCCTTTCGCTCCTCACCTCACGTCTTCACTTGGCAAAAGCCGTCTTGCCACGGATCCAAGGCAGTGGCGCCCGGAAAAGGAACAGGCACATTTTTGAAGTAGCAGCCTCTGTGGACGGTGCTGTAGGACATGGCGTTGAACCCCCTCTCCTTGGTCACGGTCCAACACTTCCATGGGTCTTGTATACTTGGATCGTGCTCCTGGTTCAGGACATAGTCTTGCTTGAAGTCATAGTTGCGGTAGCGAATGAAGTCGGCCCCGGAGGTCGTGCCTGGGGGGTTCGTTCCGGGGGTCACCGCTGGGGGGTTCGTTCCGGGGGTCACCGCAGGGCCGGGGGTGGCCCCGGCCCCAGGAGTCATTCCGGGGCTCGCCCCGGGGGTCCTCCCCGGAATTTGCCCCACAGGTGGGTAAGGGTTATACGGCCACACAGGTGGCGGTGGTGGTGGTGGAAACAACCACCACGGAAGCCGCTCCTTGCTTTCGACGTCCGAGCCGGAAATCTCGGTTCTCTCCATGCCCAAATCGCTGGAGTCCGGCTCTGGATTCTCCTTGCTGTCGGTCTGATTGACTGAACCCCATTTCAAACCTGCAAGGGCGCCAGTCACAGCACAAAGCAACACCAACTTTGCCAGCATGAGCACAAAGCTACTTCGCTACGACGGCTTGACGCTCAAAAGGCTGCAAATAGTGAGCAATGTCAAGTCTGCTCTGGAGATCAACACCTGAGACTTTATTGACCCAACCCCAATATTCAACCAATGCACTCCACAAAATGCCTGGCGCACGTAAAACCCCCTGCAAATAATCTCCACCAATCGGTCCAAGGAATTGAGACACCCATGTGAGGAGCGTGAACAAACCCGTTGTGAGTGATCGCGACCAAGCCTCAGGTTTCAGCGAAATTTCATTGAGTCTCCCACGTCTGTCCCAATCTTGGAGAATGGTTCTGCTGAGAGGATACCCTGTTCACCTTGGTTCCAACAGGAAAACCCGTATTTCCGGGCCCCCGTAATTGTTTGACCGTGCCAATGTGTCGCGCCACGGCAAGCCAGTTTGATGCCCTCCTTCCTTCGCTTCCTTCTCATCCGAGAGCCCTTTGGAGCTTGACGTCTGGGTGAGACGTGGAACTGCTCACATGTTGTGGGCAAAAGGGGGACGGACAAAATTGGGGGACCAGGGCTTGCCGCTAACCATGATGTAAGTGGTGCATGCCTTCGGCTACTCACAGCTTTCTAACTTTCCCAAACTCCAAGTAAGTTCCCTCATAGAAGAAACTCGACACAGGGCACTTGAACAGAAAAATAATATTCTTAACTTCCAGATCAATCGCTGCAAGTAAACAACCTTTCTCCCCAGTCGACCTACACGATTCATCTATGTCTGAACTGACTCTCAATCGCAACTAAACTACGTCGCACGTGATAAACAAAAACGACACGGTTCGTCATTCCTAGCCGCTGTTCCTAGAATTTCGTCCCATCCACCAGCGTGCTTTGGCCAGCATCCGGGCCTGCTTCGCAGGCGTACAGGCCTATGCGCCAAAAAGGCGCGCACGTTCAAGGCCCTCGAGGTCTCCCCAGAGCGAAAAACTCCACGGCAATGTGCAAGAAGCCAGCGAGAAATTCTGCCGGTGATCCTTCTTCTGGTGGGGGCTATGTTCGGTAGACATTCCAAATTTCTATAGGTGCAAAAGCTCCGACCACGAACTCTGTATTAAAACTACTCCAAAAAAGATCAGGAACCAGTCCATCGAAACACGTCATGGGAGTAAGGTGGGTACCCAAACCCAGTGTGTGCAGGGGAGAAGGGTATGAGGTGTGCATCTGTTTCTGGCTGTATATTTGTGGGTTCCTTATGTTGGCTGCCGCCTATTTGCAAGCCGTTGGGCTCACTCTCCGAAGCCACACTATGTACAACCTCGAAGGAGTCGCGTCAGGATTTACCTGGCGTGAGGCCATGATCAACCCACGGTTAGGACCATCGGTGCCCTTCGGGGAACTAACCTGGGCTGCCCGTTTTCAGATCCCCTGCTAAAAGTTTTTAACTGTTACATGTTAGTGGGTTGAATGGAAACCACCACTAAACACTAAAAGGCTAAAAAGCAAGGGGGATGGCTGGGAGCCACCAAGTAACCAACGGATATTGTTCGGATTATTGAATGGGCTAAAGTAGCTGGCCAAACCACGGCAAAACCCATGCTACCAAGACTAATTAATCCTACTAGGGCCTCACTAGGGGCCACCAAGCACGAACCTCCCCGCTTGCAAAATCATAAGCTGCTTTTCAAGAAAGGGCTTCGGATTCTGTGCACTAAAACGGTGCCCCTTTCTTTCGCTGAAACTTTAACCTTGGCGTTCCATGCAGGTGAGTGCAGGTACACTAATTACCGGACGGGGGGGGGGGGGGGGAGGGAAAACCCGGCTCGATATGGCTTCAGAGGAAAACACCGTCTTGGACACCGTCACTTTCCTCTTTCCCCTTTCCATCTTGGAAACAATGTGCCCAAGACCTGACTTGGTGTTCTTGTCCGGGTCGCACCTTAAGGACCGACGCCCCCGTCCGATCTTCAGGTTTGCTCGTCTCTTGATCACTCATCCCCAATCTCTACCCATCTATATCCTCACTAATAGATGGATTGGGGAGGTGAGACGAAAGTAAAAGAGAAAGAGAAAGAGAAAGTCATTCCTTCTCCATCTCCTATCCATTGCATTTCCTACATTTAGAGGTGAAGAGGAATGAAGGATAGACAGATGAGAGCCAGCTCCAGAGATAGAGGGAGGCACTTAATAAGTGAGAGATGGCTCTCTCTTGGTCTCGCTCGCCACTTGTCTGTGTCTCGCTAATTCCTCACTCATGACTCTCTATCCATCACCAGCTTCTTCTAAAGGTTACATTTGGAGTAGGAATGTGTCTAAGGGATAAAGAAGCCGGAATGATCGAGAGAGAGAGAGAGAAGATTTCGGGAGTTACATTTTGAATCCTCAATCTCTTTCTTTCCCATTTCCCTCGTGCTTCATTTTCTATCTTTATAAGACTTGTCTATTGACGAAGGAAAATAATGGGAAAGATATTAATGGAGAGAGATGTCCCACGACTAGACAAGTGCTTGGGTTCGTGGGCTCTCTTTCTCTTCCCACTCCCACCACTCACCCAACTCACGAAGGACGGTGAGATAAAGGTAGGAAGGGAAGGACAGGATGGAGATATCTGACCATCCAATCACTCATGCCCTTTCCAGTCTCTATCTTGGATGGTCTCCCGTTTGTTCTCTCATTCACACATGTCCATCCTGTATCTCTTTCCCTCTTTCCTCATTTCTTAACCCGCTCACGTTTCTCACCTAAAGATAGCTCGCTAAGGCGGGTAAAAGAGAAAGAGGGAAGACATGCCGTGAGTAAGAGATCTCAAATACACGGCTGGTAAAGGGATGAGGAGATGGAATGGAGACAGACCTCAATTCAGCATCTCCTCCCTGTCTCTCCACTCTTCCCTTTCCCTGTCTAGCCGATGAGAAAGGAAGAAGAGAGGAAAAGAGACAGGAAATGCTGGCAGGAAAAGACCTATGTGGCCGGCGTGTACAAGAAGATCCGTCCCTTCTGCATCTCTTGTTTGGGACGGTTTTTTATTTTATTTTTATTTTATTTATTTATTTCATCTTCATTCCTCAAAACAAAGGGGATGGGAATGAAAAGGAAGGAAAAGACAGGCATCTAATTCACTCACCTAGCCTCATCCCACGACTGGAAAGGAAAAGGCGTGGGACATGAGGTGAGCGATAAGAGATGAGGAAGGCATTATCGAGAACATGGCGAGCGAGGGAATGCTCTACCTTTATCTCTACCCCTTCCTTCCCACATCCTGTTTCCTCGCGAACAAAGGGAGCGAGAGGATGTGGAGGAAGGAAGGCCAGCTCTTATTCCTTTATCCCTCTATTTTCTATCAAGAAAAGATATGAACATAGATTGGAGAAAGAGGCCATCTTTCCTTCGTCCACCTTGTTCACGAGCGAATGCGGTGGGACGTGGAAAGAAGTAGATAGAGATGATGCCCGGCAATAAGAGATAGATGTAGCCGGGATGTGAAAGGAATTGTCATCTCTTTCTCCTTTCCTCCTTTCCCCTCTCTTTGTTTGGTAGGGAAAAGGTATAGGAAAGGAAAGAGAAAGAGATGGGGGAAGGTGAGGGGATGGAAAGGAATAGGAAATTAGCTCAATCCTATTCCCTCACCTTCACTCTCTCCTTACATTCCATCCCCAATCCTCACCTTCCAGTCTCTCTATTCCTTTACTCTCTCCTTCACTCGGCATTAACTGATAGAGAGCCGGGATGAGTGCAGGAAAGATAATGAACCGGCCAGGAAGGGATGATCGTGGCCGGAGCTTACATAAGGTCCTCTGTCCCGCCTTCATGTCGGCGGGGGAAAGAGGAGATTACAGTCCATCCCTCGCTTCACTCGTTCATTAGTTAAGACTCTAGTACCCTCTCACTGCCGTTCCCGTCTATCAACTCTTGAAAACTAGAAATGCAAAGTGATGAATAATGCAGGAAAGATAAACCGGGAGAAGCCGATGGAGATAATTCTATAATTCATGTCAGGAGTTTTATAAACCGAGAATGATAAATATAGAAAAGAGGACTAGACAGAAGAAAGTAATATAATTCTATGTTTATATCCCTAACTCTCTTTCTTCTTTCATTAGGTTTACAAAATGTTTGCCTTTTCACAAGTTGGGCCCTTGCTTGGAGGCTATTGTCTAGCACGCACCAAAAGCACCTCGCAAAAAACGATGGGCATGCGGCAGCCTTTCTTGCAGAATCTTGTGGGAGCTGCAAAGGAAGACCAGGGGGAAAAGAAAAGAATAACTCGGCGCACTCGTTCGACGGCCTTTTCCTATGTTTTCCTCTTCCGCCACACGTAGATGGGCCGCGCATCGGCGGAGCCCGCCCGCTGCATCCGCAAAGTAGGCTCCTGAGCGTCACTTGCGGAAAGTGTCTCCAACATGGTTGCGGCCCTCGTTCCTGTACCGCCCCAAAGAGGGGGCCAAATGGAGGATCGACACTCAGTCCGACGTGATACCCCCATTGAGTCGGAGTCGAAGGCAAAACCCGCCAAAGGTGTCGACCATATTTTGAAGTAACCTGAAGTCTCAAAGTCATCGACTTCCGGAAAACGATGGGCTGACCCCCCATCCACCTGTCGGAGGAAACCGAGTGGTTTGCCAAGTCCAGTCCTGGTAGGCTTGAAGGCCGCTCCCGCCCCAAGTTCGGCACGGTAAAGAAAATACACGCAGCTACGGGGAGCCGGTTCTGTGGTCAATGTGCCGCTTTTTCATTTGTTGAATCCTGTCACGCAGTTACATGCAGGCGCGCAGTAGTGCAGGTGACACGTGGCACACACAACGATGTCCAGTCCCCACTGTTGATGAACACAACCCCCTGCACCAGTTCGGATGGATCCAGTCCCACTGTTGATGAACAACAATTCCTGCACCAGTCAGGATGGATAAAGCCCTGCACATAGTGCGATAAGCCATCCACTTGTGCAGGATTTTGTCCGTCAACAGTATGTTGACGTAAAGAAACTGCAAGCAAGTGGATCATCCGTTTCACGCATGCGCTGCTTGCAGCACATTCGCAAGCACAAAACGTGCCTTGCCAATCGGTTCCAGATTGCCTGTACAGCGGCAGAAACTACTCAGAAAACATTGGCAACCAATAGCAGTGGCGTGTGCACACAGAGATCAAAAAAGAATAAACTCCTAGACCTGAATTGGATTCAACATTATATTCCCTCTTTTCACTGGCGAGTTGACAGCTTTGCAATCAAGACTGCTTGCAGAACATGGGGTGAACTGGCGCTCTGCAAAAGAATCAATGTTGGCCCATCCAGTACATCAGACAGAAGTTCCATTTAGATTTGCCGTTGGAATGTGTGTCTGGTTCCAGGAAAATGGAATTGTATGCATCATGATCCACAAATGCACAATTATGTAGCAAGGGATGCAAGAAACAACCTTTTCTTACTACAACATATATAAACCAGAAGACACGAACACACACACACATTCACATTCACATTCACATTCACACACACACACACACACACCTGGAGCAGGCAACGGACCCCACTTCTTGAAGTTTTGGGTGTTTCACCGGTTGCAACCGTCCCGGTCTCCTGGACCAGTCCGAGTTCAGAGACCATCTGCTGGACATCCGCCTCCAGATCCTCAGCTCGGCAGGGTCAACACTCCTCCTGACATTCAAACTTAGGCACGGACGAAATTCAAAAAGGGTTTCATCCATCTCAACTGGGGCAGTCTCTGGATTTTGTAGAAACTACATATGTTCATTGTTCAGTCAGAGATATAGTATATTGCCAAAGGTTGACCCAGCTGTTCAACCAAAGCTAAGCCCCGAACTTCTAGCCGTATCGTCAAGACGTCATCTAACTTAATTGACCCCCACAATCCATTCTGAGTGTCCTATTCGGCACATCCTCGAGTTCCAGACCCTTCGGCCAAGTGAGCCTACCACTCTCGATTTTTGCTGTTTGAGCGATTCGAGCGGATCCTCGGGCCGTAAGGCCAGGTGCCCAATTTGGCTGGACCGCTTTGGGGAATTGTCCTCCAAAGACCCGAGATTGGCTAATTCCCCAAATGTGCGACATCTTTAGGTTGGTGTGCTATTGCCCGGAAACCAATGGGCAACACACAACTTGTATTGATCGGGTGTCCTATTTTGCGAAACACCCACGCCTCCACATGTTGTTTGTGGCAGCCCTTGTCTTTAAGCCAAAAGGCAACAGCACGAACAAACAAACAAACAAAAACCAATCAAGCAAACACACACACACACAGCAAATGTAAGAACACAAACAACAGAATGCCAAGCACAACACAGCACAAAACAAGCAAAGCAAAGAAATGCTATTCGCTTTAGAACCAACGCAGACTCAAAGGGATCATGCAAAGGGAAACCAAAGGAGAACCACTCCTTTTCCAGGGTACTCCAAAAACAATAAATCACCAACGCACGTTACACAGGGGATGATTGTCGCATTCCCTTCCAAGGGGCAAGCCCAGCACGGCGATGGGAGCGGCGCTTGGTGACGGAGAGCAAGAGGTGACCTGCCAAGCCGAGCATCCGGTGCATCAGGACGGCGCTCTTTTGTTGCTTTGAAACACAAGTCTGAACAACAAGAGATCGAAAAGCAACAGATTTAACAACATGACCTGCTCTAATATGTGTTTCATAGAAACAACATTGGGTTTGTGTTTCTTCGTGAAAACCTAGTCTGCCGTTCGGAACATGAATTCAGTTTGAATAAAGCTACCATATCAACACACCAAACACACCAAATCTGAACAACGAGGGAGGGATGGCAACGGCGCGGCAAGGGTTTGGGAGGGGACCTTTCTCTACGTCTGCACCAGCGAGAGGGTTCGGCAACCTCATTGACCCATTGTTTTCTCCTTCCAGAAGCTTCCAACCTGTTTTTGCAACCATCCATTTTGGAACTCCCTTGTATGGGCCCTACCTGTATTGAATGAGGATTGACTAGCTATTCTCATAAATGCATGTACGGTAGACACATGGACCTGTCTTGCACCCAGAAATGAGTGTGCACGTGCACGTGCCATATCCATGGCCTCCAAAGGTCCACTCAAGGTTCAGGGAAGGGATGGTCACCTCCGAAGGTCATGGCTCCGATCGGAAGCCTTGCATCAGCTCCATGGGTCCAGATCGATGGCATATGATCGATGGCTGAAGAGTTGAAATTCGTGGGCAAGGGAAGGGATACACCCTCATGACCAACTGACTACAAGCCACTTATCAGTTCAAGTGGGGCTTCCTGCTGTAGTTTTCTCTCAAAGGCTTCCCTGACCAACACACCAAACCGAGAAATATGACAGATACGCAACTTGAGACTTAGTTCTCCCTTGCCCAAAGGACCTGGAAAATACAAAGTGATCACCTTCGTCACTAAAATTGGGAACCCCAAAAAGGAAAGCCAAAAGGTCAGTTCAACTGACTGTTGACCACTCCACACGGAAGCCGACTCGGCTCGGAAGCCGAGCGAGTAGCGGAAGCGAAGGAGCCATTTCGCCTCCAGGGCGCACAGCGGCCGCCATCTTGCTGAGCGTCGGCTGCAGGAAGCCAGCGCGCCATTTCTGGGGAAAGCTGAGCCACTACCGTCGTATTTCTAAACGCGGACCACTAATTTTGGTTGGGAAAAACAAACAAACAAACAATCCGCCTGGGAAGAAATGGTGGGGGAAAGACCTCTAGTTGGGCAAGCAAACACCATGCCATGATCAAACCATAAAAGTGACCGTTTCCAGGGTGTCCACTCCCCTAACCAGATAAACAGCCCCTAAACTGGGAAGAGGGGAACAAATAGTAGTAATAACCATAATAATAAATAATAATAGTAATCATCATAGTAACATTAACAATAACAATAACACTAATAATAATCACAAGAATAATAAACAACATAATAATAATAATAATAATAATAATAGTAATTAATACTACTAATAATAATAATAATAATAATAATAATAATAATAATAATATTAATAATAATATTAATAATAACAGTAATAATAATAATCATAATCATAATAATGACTAATAATAATAACTAATATGTATATATGTACGTATGCAAATATGATTAGTAGACGCATATAGCCTTTATACAGTGTTGAGGAACAACTATCATCTACGTGGTAAGGGGTGGTGGTGGTTGGAACAAAACTAACAAACTATCCAAAGCAAAACATGGACCAAACCCTGAACCAGCTAGTTGGGAAAGCAAGAACATGATACGGGAAAACACAGTCCCTGCCCACTGGCCGCAAACCACCATCCAAGACGGCTTCCACTGCAAAACTACAAATGACAGCGCATGCATACCCTTTATGTAGAGTATATTGGGCCCCACCAGGCGACGAATTTTGCACCCGGCGCATCTCAGTTTAATGTAACGGGTGAAACTCATTTCCATCAGGGGCCTAGTCCCAGATAGTTCCACCACCATCATCTAAGAACATCAAACGAGCCAACACAAGCACAATAACCAATGGCACCAAAAGAACCCGAAGGAGCAACAAACAACAGCAGAATCAAAGGAACCAACGACCAACGACCAAACAAAAGCAACAAGTGAAGCAAAAAGAACCTACGAAGCCAAACAAATGCAAAATGAAAAATGAAGACAGCAATTAAAGGAATCAACAACCAAAGAAGCAAAAGGAATCTAAGAAACAACAAAGCAAAAGAACCCGAATATCCAACAGAACCCAAACGCTCAACGAACCAACGTACTAGCACCCACAATCCCTCCCTCCTCCCCCAACTTTAATAACAAACAAGAGAAGCAGACCAAAGCGACAAACAAGGGAGCCTCCACAGTGGGGAAGCGGATGTGGCTCTGTGTCTGCTCGTCACTATACCACTCCTCAGAACGCGCCGACTGCAAGCCGAGGTGAGTGGGTGGAGAACCCCTTCCAGCGTCCCCCTGTACCGACCCCCCCCACCCCAAGGGTGGGTTTATAGGGCAAACAAGACCTTCACGGCCTTGGTTCCGGGGTTCTGTGGGTCCTCTTGGCGGTAGGGTCCCTGACCCTCAAAACATATTATCTTGTGCGGGCAATCAACTTATCAATATATTTCAGGCTCTAAGGGCCTCTGCCAAAGACCATGCTGAAACCTCCACACGTACGAAACATCGTCCAAAAGAGCCAGTTAAGACGCCTAGACCAAGAGCCTCTTAGGGCTCCAGGCTCCCCGACACTTCTTTGTCTAGAGCTTCCTACGGCCCTGGAGAACCAGCAGGGGACAGAGCAACCCTCTGGGACAAACTGAAACGAGGAAACAGTCCAATCAGGGGCCCGCGGTGACTATCTCCTAACCTCGCGGGTTATGTGGTTGTCCTTTTCCAACACACCTCCGCGCAAGGTCCTGCAAACACGGAGGGTCAGCCTCTGCACCCTATTTTTCCTGGCCGGCTCGCTCTAACCAGACCTTCCCCCGATCGATCCCGTGAGGCTGGGGCGCAGTGTTAAAGTAGGGCGGCGACGTGAAGGCCATGTCCACTTGCTCCGTCAAATCCAAGTCCTGAGGGTCCATAGGCTTCGAAGCCCCCTACTCACCCCTATCTCCCCTGTTCCATTCACACAATCCCCGGACGCAAACATAGATCAAAACTGGAGGTGTTTGAGGGGTGGTAGGAGTTGTATGGAAGACCCCACCGCCCTGTTTTCCCCCGAAAAAGACTCTAAGACCTTGCCACCTTGGAGCATTCTCTCTTACAGGGATCGAATCGGAAGGATTTCCGCAACTCAAATCAGTGTATTTGGGGAGACCTTGATACTTGTAGCTTTGGGGTGTTCATAGCATGTTCAAGTACCAGGCTCTGGAAATATGGCAGCCCCCAGTTTCCTGGGTACTGCTCTGAATGGCCGGTGCTGCCACTGTGTCATCCTCAAATGGGAAGTCATCTTCCTGTGATTCTTGGAGCAGGTACGGAGAAGTCACTGGATTTCCGCACCAAAAAGCGAAATGGAGGACACACTGTGTGATTCTTGAAATTGCAGGTTCTTTTCGGCCTTTGGGAGCCAGGGAGCGCAACATGGTCACATTATTATACAATTTATACAGTAATCCTGTTAGCGAGCTGTCTGCGAAGAATATCAGACTTGGCAAAGGCTTTGGAGAGGGTTCCCTAAAATTTCCCCTGCAACATCCCCAATCAACAAAGACATAACTAACGTGGCTGCTTCCTACAAATGATGTTTGCGTCGCCCTGAGCTTTACATGTTTGAACCCCCCACCATATGAAGAAACGTGGCATAAGGTTGACCCCGAGTATTTGTCCTGGCGGATTTGCTTAAGTGAAGGAAATTCAAGCACCACCCAGGGTATTATTCTTTAAACCTGGGTTCCCATTGCCAAGCATGTTGCAGCAATCAACCCTAGATTGAATCCTATCTGTAGGGGCTGATCAATGTTCTTGGCCCGCAACTTGACCAAGGCTGTCTTTTCCCACAACGTGGAACAACTCATCCTTGAGAGTCTCTCCAAATGGTCTTCCCACGTACAGGACCTTTTGATCAACCCCCAATCATTTCTAAGTGAACGTCCACAGAGGCCGCCTCGGGATAAACCCAGATAGAATACTCACGATGGCGTCCCAACATGTTTTGTTCGCACAACATTAGATCATGGTGGACTTCAGAATTTTCTTCAGTAAATCACTTGTTCATGTTTAATGAACTTGATACATCAAAGTGTATGCTCAAACCTAATACTTTGTTGTTCAAGTGATGGTCAATCCTTCATGTTCATTACAAACAAACTCGGAGTCCTCACTGCCACAGGGGTGCAGCTCCACATCCAGAGGTGCCAAGAGCTGGGCAAACTCCTGACATGAGACCAGACGTGGAGGCCTGCGCTTGTTTTCATCCAAAATCGGAAGTGGATCCCGGCAATGCGCCCCTATCCGTCGCCCTTTGCTTCCTTTGGGAAGATAAATGTTCAATCCTGGGCGTTTTGGCATCTGAACTATGGGTGAATTCGCTTTCCATCCATAACAAGGATCCAATCTGCCTGGGGAGGCTGTGGCATGTACTTTCATCCAAGTAAAACTGCCAACAACAAAGCTGCAGAAATGTCCCAAGGACCCCCATAGCCGCTGCGGAGCAATCATGGTATAAATAACCAAAATGGAGACCTCGTCCAAATTGTGAACACCATCCTCCAAGCCCATTGTCTTTGGTGGTTCGGGCAAGGGTGGGCTAATCCTGCTCCCCTCCAACAAATCTGCCCTAGCCCACTTTGTAAAAAGGACTTCAGAACCCCGTCGAGAAACTGACCGGCCATCGTTCTCGCAAACCAATCTTTCTCGCAAAACAAGCCTTACCAACAAAATGGTTGTTGCACTTTGGACTTGGCAAGGCTGCATCCTTTCTGGCAGGTGTCTCGCAGTGCACCATGTTGGAAATGTCGCCTTCGCCAGAACCAAGTCTGCTGCCAAAGTCTGCTTCAACGTAAGACCCAACCCAGCCGAAAGGATCCAAATCGACGTGGGTCTTGAATCCACTCAAGTGACTTGTTATCAGTAGCAAAAAAGGGCCGGTCCCATGCTCGCGAAATCCCCGAAGTCATCAAGACCTTTCAAACAGCCGAATTCCAACCTGCAGTTTTAGGTTGGAACTTCCATTTCGCGCATCCCTTTTGAAGTTCCATGGGTGTGATTATTTTAGCGCACCCACCAAAATGCCGGTTTTCCCGTGGGTTTCCCTAAGCCCAGCAGAATGGGCTTTCCCCACGGGCCCCACCGACCAAGGCCCAGCGAGTCCTGGAGGCCATCGAAGGTCTGGGCGCTGGGCTCGCAGGCGATGTATTTCTTCACGCCCCCCAGACGCCTTGGGCGGCCAAAACCGACCGCCGGACGTGTCTCGCTGTCCAAGCTACTCGAAATTTGTGGGGATTCATATAAGTCATTGCTTACCGAAGGATTGCCATAACTGGGACCATTCTTTTCATCTCACTTGCCCAAAGGACCTGGATTTTGAAGGTTCTTTTAGGTTCACTACAAATGGACCAAAAGGTCAAAAGATCGGCTTTGGGTAACTGAGCAATGGGGGTTGAACCCAAAGGTATAGTGATTTCCCAAGGAGGCTTGAATTGAAACGATTGTCGTGGCAGAGGCTCACAAATGTTAATCCGTGCCAACGGGATGGACAGTACTGGGGGGAAATCATATTGGAATATGGGCCATGGGTACTTAGCCCGGTTCTGAGAACCTTTCTGCGGGTTGGGGCCTCAACGGCTTTCTTAAGGGGGTGGCTTGATGGGGATGAATTCTGGTTGACCCTTACTAGCCTTCTTGCTTCCCTTTGAGTTAGTCCCTTTTCCCGAGCCTCAACAAAAAGGTACATCCCAGTGTTTCCCAAGAGAACACAGTCATGTTCCGCAACGTTAAACAAATGACTCGTCGCCCCAATAAACCACAATCAAGAAATGGTTGAGCGGTTGGTCTGCCAGCTGTAATTGTTGCAAAGGTTCCAGAACTAAAACAACACCTGAAAACAAAAGTTCCAAAAACAACAGAACAGACAACCTAATGATTCCCCAAGCTAAAGCACCTTCGAATCTGTGATCGCTCGCATGGGGGTTCAGCTTTCTTTCGGCTTCCGTGGGTTGTTCAAACAACTCAACCCAATTCGAGCCTAACAAAGGAACCTTTGTCGCATCGTAGTCCAAATCGCGATGCCCCGAAAAACCAAAGTTCTTAACCCTTCTCAGAAAAAAAGAAAAGAAACAAACAACATGGAATCTTTTATCTGGGAGAAAACGGCAAATCCCCTCACACAAAAATAAGATGACACCATGGGTGTATAGATTGACCATGCTTAGCACGAAACAAGGCACACGAATAGAGAAAGGTGCCGCTGAACAACTGGGCTGTTCAGTTTTCAGGAAGACGGGCTGGAGCCTCCCTCCTCGCCCGGTGACAGCCGTGGCGCGCCCCGAGTAAGCGCCCGCCCCAGCCGGCGCAGGGGTCATACACCACACCGCCCGGCGCGAATCGCCGGAAAAGCGCCTGAGTCTCAGGCGCAAGCACTCCAAAGAGCGCCCATCAAGTGTTCACCTTTCGGTGGTTTGGATTGCAACAAAGGACACACCCAATTCTATGCTATTTGGCAACCACTCCGCGAAGGCCAGTGAGCCAGCCAGCCAGGCAACCTCAAAAACATCCCGTGGGCTGGAGCAAGCTCAAGGCAACATACAAAGCAAGGCCAAATTCAATGGCCGACTAGCAGTTCTCACCGGCAAGCACGGCAACATACTAGGAAAACAAGCAGGAGGATGGGGGAAGAGCTCCCTTCATGGCTAGTCATCACAGCTCTTTCGAACTCCCCGCAATTCAGCTTCGCTGTAGCAGATCTTCCACAATCTTGCTAAACCCTGCCTGCTGTCCGACCCCCTTGAGGCCTGGGAACGGATAGACGAAACCAGGACATCAAACGGTCAGAAAGTCGATAGTTTTAGGCATCTGCAATACAACTTCCTCCGCATAGCTCATTGCAGCATCACTCACAAGGCCGAAACCAAATACAAGAACCGCGTCCATGACAGCTTTCGGTTCTACCAACATTATTATATAAAGATTCAAATGGATGCTTCCGGAGAAGGGGACGACGCTGAACATGCAAGGATTCCTTTGGCCTCACCTCGAGTCCATCCGAAATCGAGTCCCGCTATTGTTGGAAGCGCTCAGTGAACTCCCAACGCCAAGCGACAGAATCCCCAAACTGGACATTCTGCAAAGAGCTGGTAAGTACTCCCCTGCATTAACATGAAACCCGAAAACCGCTATTTCCAGACAAACCTTAGGGAAAAAGGAATCCCCAAGAAATGTGTCTTCAGTATTCCTCGCTTTTGCTATATCAGGGTTTTGACCCCAAGTTGAGCACCGAACCGATCCGCGCTTTCTATAGCTCTGTAAGCCCCCCGTGGCAGATGCCGTCCCTAAGGTTTTTGTTGGAGACCTTCTCCAAGAAAGCACTAGGGGGCTCCAACAGACCTCATTGATAAAACAACCCAGGTCCAAGGTACCACGACAAACAAACACGTCAACACACAGGTTCACCAACGACCAACCAACCAACCAGCCAACCAACCAACCAACCAACCAACCAAATAAACAAACAAATAAACAAATAAACAACCAGCCAACCAACCGACCAACCAACCAACCAACCAACCAACCAACCAATAAAAAAAACATCAAACCAAACCAGCCTAAGAAGCAAGGCAATACGCGTTTGACAACTAACACATTTGACCTCCACCTCTTTGAAACTCCATCCCAAGCGCTGCGGCCACCAGCGCTGGGAAGTTGGCGATCCAGCTGCCGCCCCCTGCCGGTGGGGTGCCGATCCAGCCGGATCCGTCTCGACGGTTTTTGGTGGACTTCGTCTCAACTCTTTTCGGTTTGTGGATTTACCCTCCAGACTAACGTGGAAGCTCACTTGGCTCCATTTACGGAGGCCTTACGGGAGCTTCCATGCTAGTCTGAGGGAGTGTACCATCCAACATGATCTTGCCAAACTCCCAGTCAGTTCCAAAACCAGAAGCAAGAGTTGGATTCCGGTTGGGACGTTCATGGCGTGCTGGTGTAGTCCAAACACTCAGGAAGTAGCACGCGGATGTCTTAACCTGTCCATTGAAAAGCAGGTGTTCTCCTCCAAAAAACTGATGCACCCTCTCTACATGGGGACACCCCCTATGCATCAACCAGAGGTTTATGCATCCGAGATTCCTACTGTGGATAGACAAAATCCTGCACCATCCAAGAAACTCTGAAATGATGATTCCCCTGTAAAACACCAACCAACAACGGTTTCCCATGGTTTCAATGTGGTGCGAACGGATTTTGTCCGTCCACAGTATGGCTGGAAAAGTACAGCTCCCCGCCTTGGAAGACCATGGAGTCATCGTGGAACCTGCACTCCTCCCGCACAGTCTTCGGCGAGCAGCTGGGATCCCCGCAGCGCTCCACGCCTCGAAGCGCCGAAGATAGGGGCCCGGTTTGTTTGAAAACGAAAAATGGGGCCGTGGAGTGAGAAACAGGTGGTGTTTGTGGGTATATACCCTCAAGTGCCGATGTTGATCCTCAGCCTGCTACTTGAAGTGTGAGACATGCATAGAATAGATTTCTGGGTTGTCTTGTCTCTGGCGCGTAGAACGGTCCTCAGACTTTGCATGTCAAAGGCCCAGTCTTGATTGTGTTGGGTTTGGACCTGGGAAATACCCCCAAAATCTGTGATACCCATTGGTCGGATTCCCATCCCATCACTTTATCACTTTAGAGGGTTCTGATGGTCTCACAAATCCCCCCCTGCTGATATCTAAATTCCATTTGTCTAGTCTTCGCCATGAAAGGAAAATGAGACCGCAAATGGAACACCTACAATCCAAAGCTTGGATGGAGGCTGATACATGCCCTCAGAACGGCCACTTTCGCTGAAGGACCTAAATAGTTGAGCCCCTGATCTAAAACCAGCCGCTGCTCCCTGCATAGGAGGCTTGGACAGATCCGGATCCCTAAAAAGGGAGACCACTGGACAAACACCATCGATTCAACGCAAAAACCAACGGAAACCCATAGACACAACTGAAAACCAGATACATGTCAATGTAACTCAAAGGAAGCCAATGGAAAGCTTCTGAAAACCAACACATTTTGGACACACATTTCTCCTTCTTCGAGGGGCAGGTGCGAAGGCTCTTCATCAGCCCGGCGTTGCTTTCGAAGGTCTCCAGGGCGCTTGGCTTCAGCACGGGCCCCGCTTTGGACCTCGCATGGCCACAGCGCGCTGGTTCCGATGGTTTCGCGCTTCCAATGTGGATTGGCCCCCAAAGTCTCCAAACCTCCGGGTTTTGGCGCAAAACTAACTGGTCCCACCTGGTGGTGTCGGCGCAAAGAAGAAGTGCCACCTGTTGGTTTGCCACTAAAATGGCAGCCAAAACGGAGCTCAGGGAGTGAGACAAAAGCCATGGTAGTTCCACCCCTTCAAAAATAGTTTTTGGCTTTGAATGCTTCGAATTCAAAGCATCAGACATGCCCCTCCACTGAAAGGGGGAAGGGACCTCCGTTGGAAGCTGTTGGACCTCCAAAAAGAAATTTGCCGTTTGAGGGCCCAAGATGCTTAGGGCTAATTAGAAAGAGGCGTAGTTCAACTAAAAGCCCTCAGCTCAAGGGAATTCCAGGGACACTTCTCGGGCCCATTTTGAAGGTCCCTCCAAAATGGTGGACAGGCGCATGGAACCCCGTTTGCAGCATAAATCCTATAGACCGGTGGGTTAGGTAAATGATCCCTATAAAGCTACTATTTGATTTCATGCATTACATACTCCTTCTCCTCCCGGGTGGTATGGAGGTAGCGAAAACCCTCCAGGATTGAGCTCAAGGAATGGGCAGGACTTGAGGAAAGGCAGCAAACACATCCGCACGCCAAATGCCAACTGTTGGACGCGCTCAAACCTACCTGGTGAATCCAAGTCCATTGGGACGAAATGGGACCTTTTTGTGTAGTTGATTCAGCGAAGCCCTTGCAAACATAACAAACATGGCTGAAGCTTGAGACACAGGTGCCATACGTGGAGAGATGCATGGGTGTGTTTTTGGTCTTGGTACCTTTTCATGGCGTTTAAAGGAAAGATAAGGAAAGTAAAAGGAAAGCCTGGATTTTGAGTCCCCCAATTCTCACGCATAATTGCCCGCATCGACATTTCCTTCACACCAACAAACACACAAACACGCAAAGACACAAACACACGAAACACAGACACACACACACACAGACACACACACACACAGACACAGACACAGACACACACACACACACAGACACAGACACAGACACGCACAGACACACAGACACACGGACACACAGACACACAGACACACAGACACACAGACACACAGACACACAGACACACAGACACACAGACACACAGACACACAGACACACAGACACACAGACACAGACACAGACACGCACAGACACACAGACACACGGACACACAGACACACAGACACACAGACACACAGACACACAGACACACAGACACACAGACACACAGACACACAGACAAACAGACACACAGACACACAGACACACAGACGCACAGACAGACAAACGACACACACACACACACACCCAGACACACACACACACACACACACACACACACACACACACACACACACACACACACACACACACACACACACACACACACACACACACACACACACACACACACACACACACACACACACACACACACACACACACACACACACGCTCAAAAACACACGCAAACAAACCTAACACATGCCGATGAATCTTGGAGATGGTGTGCAATAAACCAGCATGTTTCCTGAGAAGAAGAGGCAGCTCGGATTGTAAGCTCGCTATGAGTTGCCTGCATGTTGTAGATTTGTAGATTGTTGCTTGACAACATCAGCATCAACAGTGGCGCACATGACGAGCAAATCACGTAACAAAGATCGCCGGTCAAAACCACCGGAATACGAGTTTGCCAATGCGGCAAAGAAACAAGATAATCACTGATCCGTCTTTGTCCGGTTGCGTACAGCCACACTATGTATGCATATCTATGATGTACGTACCTGTTTTGTGTATACAATATATAATGCATATGGTTGAACATACTCATACGCACATACACTTCAACACAATGATCTTGTGGTTTCAACGATAATGTTGTGTGTGTAGTATAAACAGACTCATCCAGTATTCGTTGAGGGGCCCAACCCAAACCATGTCGAGCTTCACTGCACGACAGTTGCCACCAGGCGTCACATGCCGTGTCTTCGACACTTCAAAGCCGTGGGGATGAAAGGACCAGCAAAGATCATCTGCGCTGTTCTCATAGTCCACTTGCTCCTCAGACCTTGCCAACCCCCCCCCCCCGGAAAAAAGAAAAGAAAAACAAAAGAAGAGGGGGGGGAAAAAAAAAACGTTGCGGGCCCACCCTCCTTTCTGATTCTTCTCTTGTAAGAACACATATGGGACGGGTCCCGCTAGTGGGATAGGCCGCCTCCCTCAATACATTGGGCTGGGAATGGGCTAGCCAGGAGTTTGGTTCCGCGCCAGGGGGCCAAACGCCTTGTATGAGGCACTCCTCTAGGCTAAAATGGAAGCCACCCATTCAGTTTGCTAAGGATAGCTTTCAACCTTTACGTCTTGGTCCACAAAAAAGGGGCACAGAAAATCATGGTGTCTGACTCTGGCGACGATTTTGGCTGCCCTCAACTCTTAGAATGGCTCTGGTGAAGCCCCTGTTGCAACACATTTTTGGGAGGAGACCCCAGAAGGGTCCTTAAATTCCCGGATAGCCGCGGTAGTCTAAAGCGGATCATGATCTTGTCAGCATCTGTTATGTTGACTCCTGACAACCCTCAGCTGCTTGTCCGGAGTTCACTTGGCACAGCATCCGTCGGCCCTTCATCATGCCATTGAAAGCTTACTGACATCGGTCTTCACTCCCACCTTCGAACATTTGCGTAAGAAGGAACCCTACAGTAGAGTGCCCGCAGCAAGTCAACTGGGCCCTGCTCGATGCTGAATGGAGGGATCTTCCTGCGGGAGTCCAAAGTCATCGAGTCATGGACAAAACATGATGTGCAACAGGTATCAGGGATGGATGAAGACTGATGTGAAAATTGGTCGAACCACCAATCCCAACTGATGTGAAATGGACTTTGTCTATCAGAAGCTCCTCCAATTCAGTTGGTTTGGATTGGTTTGAAGGTCCAAGAATTGGCTGCTCATTTCGAGAAGAAGTAGGTCCACTCACAGGAGAATCCTTTACACATAATGGGGTTCCATATCAATCTGCAGGGGATCAAACGGGATTCAATCACCGAATCCCCAAACCAAACCAAAGATCGGGATCATCTGATCACCCGCATCGCCCGGAATCTGCAATTAAGAACTTCAACATCTGAAATAATAATTGCGTGTTCAGGTCAAGGATCTACATCATCGCTTTTGCTCGTTTTGCCACCCCAGAGATCGGTGGAATCGATCGCGATATTCTGGAACACTTTGGATTGTGCGGAATGCGGTAGCGTGAAAGTAGATGCGGGTCCCTTTCTGCGGGGGTCACCCCAATTCACCATGGGCTTCCCTGGTAAACCATCTAATCCGGTGAAACCCATCTATTTCTAACCAAACTCACCGATCAAAAGGACACCAATGCTGAGTAAATTATTCGAATGGCTTTTGACGGACTTGTTATTGCCCTTGTGAGTTGGTGGGTCCACACCGTTGACCGCAGCCGTTGCTAGCGTCACCTCTTTCGACATTTGAGACATTTTCTAGAAGCATATTTGGCAGCACCTGTGGGTGTTTCTCAAAATAGGAATCGGTCAATCTCCAAAAATGGTTGCTTTCCTTTTGGTTTTCTGTTGGTGTCCTTTTCTTGTTGGCTTACCAACAAGGGGTCCATCCGCCATTTGGTCAAACGGAGTCCAAGGTATTTCCTGGCGAAATGTCAGCACTGTCTGCTAGTGTCAATCTCCATGTGTTTGCAACTTCCACTGCATTATATGAGTCAGGTTATCACAATAGAACAAGCCATGCAGTGCATTTTCAGATTAGGCCCCCAAATTTGACGATTCTTAAATTCTGAAATGAGATAAGATCTTGGCCGGATGCCCTGCAGAAAGTTGCTGCCAATTCAAAGAAATCCAAACGGCCGCAGGCAACAAGGTTAATCAGCTGTGTCTTGCAACAAAAATGTCCCAGGTATGCCCGGGCCAACCTGGGCACCAGAAATCATACCTTGTCAGGTTCTGGCCCATACTTGGCCTACATTGGCCTACTCCAAAAATGAAAGATTTCAGAGAAGACCCCAGGTATGGTTCTCATCTATAGACAAACCAAGCAAATCGACGCTTCGCCGACCGCCTCCAAAGCTCGGTGAGGTTCACCTTGAGCAAGCCTTTCAGCTGCTCTTGGCCTGGAAACATCTTGGAATCTTGGAGGACCAACAAAGCTTGATGGCCATTCTCTGCCCAAAGCAGTTTTAACTTGTTGCGGCTTGGGAACATACTCATTCTCCCAAAAGTCCACGGTTAAAGATCCATCCCGATAGCATTCAAGGACGAAATCACTTTGGATTCTTCCAGATCGTACGGTGGTGGAGAATTCGGCCTGGACATATTAACAAGAGCTTGGGAAAAAAGCGAGAACCCACTTGTAGAAAAGGAAGCCCTTTCTGTCGGGATGCCAATGCTTAGAGGAAAAACCGCCAAAAACATTGCACAACAGCGGAAAAGCTTTATTTGAGCATGGATCTGTGGCAAAAAACTTGGACCCCATTCAATGGTAGCGTAGCTTTCGACCTTCTTTTATTGAATCCATGAAAGTGACACCCTCATGTTTACTCATCTTGCTTCATTTTTCACAGGTGGCTCAACGGAAAACCACCTTCAGAGTCATTTTGAGAAGCCCTCAAAATCTTCACTTGGGTATGAATTTTGAAGGGGGCCCCTTGATGGACATCATCTAGGTGGAATTCATGTCCACCAACCACTTTTGAAGCGATTCCCTGGCAAAATTCATAGACCCTTCAGGGACCCATTTTTAAGCGGTCACACGGTCACACGGCATGTGCAACTGGGCGACTCGCTGCCAAGAGGCGCCAGGCGGTGTCCGATGGAGGATATGGGAAACCTCATCTCTCGCTCGCTGCTTGGGTGTGATCTTTGAGGACCTTCTTTTTTGAGGACCTTCTTTTTCGGGGATTGCAAATCAAGGCATGGCCAATGCTCGCAAATCCCTGGCACTCCAAACAGCTGCAAATTTGTCATATAGGAAACACTGTGTTTGTTCCGTTACTATGGAATCGCAGCATGTCTGAAAGGGAAAACGAGGTGTACTTTGTCCTTCCAACCCGAGGACAACAACTAGAATCTTGCAGATTGTGAATGAGACGATGTCGCGTTGCGTCGCTTGAATATGCCCGTGTTTCCTTGCAATGCGTTGCTGTTGCTGTTGGGTTGCTGTCTTTCCAGGCTATGACGTGATTTTGTTCAGTGTTTGAAGCTCCATATTGCAACAACAGTACTAAGGGGACGCGGTTTACACGGGAATAGCTACATAGGGATTGCCTTTCAAGAGCCCCGGTCGTTCAAGACAACCACCCCGCTCAGTTGTCCAGTGATCCTTGCAGAAACTGGGAGCCCTTTTCGAGTTCACCTGTGCATCAAGCAAGAAAGGAAGGACGCCATACGGTTCCTGAACTAATTTGTCAAATCTAAAGCTTGCGGCTTATGGGTCGGTAGGTCTATCTTTGAGGGCATTAGGGCAACCTAAAAGAAAGCCACCAGTTTGAGGATCCCCTCCAAACAACCCCTATACCAGGTGAGGTGTATCATAATTCAAGTGGGGAACCCGTTCCCGGGTGGGAAATGAATTGCCTAGGCGGACTCTGGGAACATGGGCAGTTTCTGAGAGCCTTCTGGGACGGTACAGACATCTTGATTGAAAGACATTGGAGCTAGTACTGGGGTGACTGGATTTCCCCTCCATTGAAAACTGCCCCTTTTGGGGGGTTCAAAAAAGGAACACGGTGGTACCCCGGTACTTTTTAGGCAGAAGTCCGTTCCTTCCCACTGCCGGGGCTGTCAGCTCACGATTCACCTAGGTTACAACCCAGAGAAATCGGCCCAACAAAGCCCATCCTGTCGTTGGGTAATATGTCGCTTAGCTGCAACGAACCATTTGCTAAGATGAACTAACACACACACACACACAGCTGCAAGTACCAATATGTCAAAGGCAAACCCTGCTTGGCAAGTCAACCCCGCACGCTGGACTTCTTGGTGTCTTTTTCACGGCAAACTGTCTGGGTTCCAGGCCCCGAGAGCGGTAGATGGTGAACTTGTCCAGGAGCCTAGGGGAAGACGTGCTCAGATTTCACACTTTCAGAAAGCGGCGGTGGTTCCCGGGCTTTCTGGAAAGACAGGGACCCCAAACGGAAGTAACCAAAAGAGTGACGTTTAAAACCAACCTTTAATCTTTGAGGGGAAATGCAGGCAACCCTGAAAGAAGGATCCTTTCATAAAGCAGCCGAAAAGGCGAACATGCCTCAAATGCGCCCGTCCCCTCGCTTTGGCGCTGATATGCGCTGATGTTCCGATCCCCATCTTTCTGGGGTGTGTGGTCCAATCCATCGATCCGGTTTCAGGTTCAGGACACCTTGGAAATGGGTTCGTGAATGTTCCCAGAACCAGACAAAAAGCACACCGACCAAGAGGAAGCCGATGCTCGAATGGCCTACATGGAAACGGGTCGCAACTAAGCCAAATTCGTCCCAGCGTTAGACTAGACACTAGCCTGGCTGCCGCACCACTTGAAAGTGTCGGCCACTGGTTGGCAAGTGCTTAGAAAACCAATGTGTTCACCGATGGACTTGTACTTGGAAGACCCAAGTGGGGTTCCACGTGGAGTTGCGCCTCTACTGGGCGATCATCTCTATCTGGAAAAAGTCATGCAAGCGATTGAACCCTGTAAATATGCGACTAAATCACGTTGTTGAGTGTCTAACGCGGCACGCCTGAAATCTAAAGGAACTGCATCGGAGTGGACCTGGATCCAACTACAGTACTTGAACAGCAATTGGAGAGGCTTTAACATGGTTGCGGTTTGGTCGTGTTGAAAGGTCCAAACTGGTGAAAGACCCGTTGAAACTGTTGGTGGATGTTGGTGGAGTTCAACTGCTTTTGCTTGACCCTGCTGGCACCTCCCCGCTTTGTGACGTGTCCTTTTTGTCGATGCGGCCAAGTGGACTTGCTGGGAGGCCTCACAAGCCCAAAGCTGACCAACTAACTAAGACTCTGGCAGCGTCTGAGACTCCTGGCAGCGGATGCCGGAGCTAAACGAGGGAATGCCGCCAAGAGAAAACCAAAATCGCAAGAGATAGATGTGAGTCAAAAATAATAGCACAAAATTTATGATAACCGTAACCGATAAGAATGGGCGAATTAAGATTATATGCCCGCTTCTACATCATCAGACATTTGTATGCACAAACCTTCCTGAAGGGTAGGTCGTAAGCCCCCTTTGAGCTCGCCATAACTTGCCCAAACAAATATGACTCCAACAGCACACAAAACGCAGAAAGCACAAACAGGGAAACAACCTCTTCGAACAGGCAGGCCACTGTTTCGAGCTACCTGCAAGTGCACTCCTGACCAAGCCGGGAAGCTGGAAAAACCTAAATGGCCTAGTCGGGAGTTTCCTGGGTTTGGACAACGTACCCTAAACATTTCAAGACTGTCTTTCGTCATGGTCATCATGGAGGGCAAAAACGTCTCCGATGGTCCAACAAAAAGGGGATGCTTGAAAACCGCAACCTAGGGCGCTCAGAAGTCCATGGGGAAATCAACACGGGCGTTCTCTGTTTGCCCCTTGACGGACACCCGAAGGGTTTACCCCCGCCGTCCAACCTCCCCTAGGGTTGAGTTCCGTTACCCTTTGGTTTGAGTGGGTGCTGGCAAACGTTCAGTTCCCCCCACCCCACCCATCCCTGGCTCCGACTCGCCTCCTCGTCCTGGGGGAAGTTGGCCACCGGCCACTCCGCCTCCCGCGCGCGGGCGTCCCAGGCGCTCGCCGCAGCTTCCGGCGTCTCGAAGCAGCCCAGGAACTCCTGATGGATTCATCGAGTCAACCCGTCCCAAGTGGAAGACTCCAGGGACAAAAGAGGCCAAACCTCCTTTTTGCCCTCGCTGATTCATCTGTTTGCTAGTTGATTTCTCCGTTTGGTGGTTGATTCCTTTGTTTGGTAGCTGATTCCTTTGCTTGGTCGACTTGAGGAGCGGGTGAACGAAAGCTAGCAGTTGTTGCATGAGATGGGTCGGTGACAGAGTGGATTCATAGGTAACTTGTGTACAACGAGAGGCCCGGCAAGATTCGTAGGATGCGACACGCCGATTCAGCTTGTTCATTTGAGACCTCAGTCTTCTCGGTAAACCACTTCGCAAGAATCTTTGCACACGCAGCATGCAGAACCCAGAGGTGCTTTCAGACAGCTTCTGACGCCTCTCGTTTTCATGTTTCAAGGTTTGCCACGCCACCATGTGCGTTTGTGGAACATGTAAATGTTCGTAGCACCAAGTCCAAAACGGGCAAACCGAGACTGCTGAACACTGAGCCTCTGCCCGGGGGGGGGGGGGGGATGGACCAGGGAGGAATCGAGCCTGAGATGGACCGGGGGGGGGGGGAGGGGGGTGGGAGGGGGGGGGGGGTCTAAATAATTGATGTTTTTCAATCTTTTCGGCTCAAATAATTGAAAAAAACAATCTTTCGGCATTTGAGCCCCTTACCTTGCTTACGCAAGGAGAAACTTCAGCTAGCTAAAGCTAGCTTTCGTGATTATTCCTCTGCTTGTTAGTTGTTGCTTTTCTCGCTCATGCTTTGGTTTGCTAGTGATTGTTTCAAGGAATCATCTGGAAGACAAGGAGTGTCAAGAAGACTCCAGGTTGATTTTGAAGGGAGCCCCCCAGAAAAGGAACAAAGCCAGGTCTCGGTCTCAATGAATTGGTCCAGACTGAGAAACCTTTCAATTGGCAACTTGTGGCTGGGCTAAGAGGAAGATGAAGTAAAGAACAACCATGCAAGCACGTCCATGTTAACGTCACTCCTCCAAAAGGAAACTTGATTGAACACGACCAAACACGTGATGTTTGACTCACTGATTTAGGGGTGCTGATATGTGCTGATACTCCCCCCCCCCCATTACTTGGTGGGTTGGGTCCCAATTCGCATCCCACCTCCTCCCCAGGCTCGGGGCAGAAGATCGCGTGGAAGCGCGGCAGCCCCGACTGGTTGCAGAAGGCGTGTACCCCAAGCCTGGGAGAGGCGACTCAACATGCACTCGCTTCCTAAGCCCAGTGGCTTTGTCGAAAACGACAAGGGCTATGGCTCGGGTAACTTTCCAGGTGTCTCGGGCCAAACTGCTTGTGGTTATACTTACTTCCAAGCGAGCGGTTTGACCAACACAGTTGTTCAGAGTTGCCATACACATGGTTCCAAGTCCAAGTGACTAAAGCCCAAACACTGCTCGAAGGGAATCCCCACTTCTTTCCCACAATTGGTTGGTTCATGGGAGAAGTGGGCAAATCTCATATTGAGGCACTCTTGTTGGGGCTGTGACAAACACCGCTATTTCCGGGGTACCCAACATTGAAAAACACACACGAGCATGAAGGCTAGCAGCTGCGTTCTTGGATGTTCAGTCCACATGGTAGGTCCACAGTAGGCACGGTTGAGCCACTGTTGGTTCGCATATAACCATGGTTACAACCTACTTGCTTCATGAGTAGGTTGAACATGCTGGTGAGCGTTTGTATTTGTTGGGTGTTGGGCGTTTAGAAAAGGGGGGGGGGTTCCTGGAAGATCATTGTCCTTTCAAAGGGACCCCCTGTCAGGTTTATTTCGCCAAACAACTCTGCGCACATGTCCGGTGACCCTGTCAGAACCAAGGAACCCTTTGCTGGGTTGACCAACTCGCGGGGAACCCGCCAGAGACGGTGCTACTGAACTAGGGTGTGGTCAGAGATAGAAGGCATCCCTCTCCTTTTTCTGGGCCAATGCCCGCGGAACTATGTGCAACGAGAGAAAACACACACGATAGACCATGGAATTACAAAACCAAACAGGCGGCCTCAACCAACGGCCATGGAATCGCAAGGAAAAGACGACTTTCACAACCGACTCTGTTCGCTGGTATTGCAATACACTCGAAAAAGACGTGGCGACTGTAGCAGCAAATTGGGATCATGAAAGTGGCAAGAGCAGTGGCATGTAACTTTGCCTGGTGTCTTCCCAGTGGGTGAACACCCAGGTCACCAATCGCCGCGCATGAACTGCACAATGGCACCCGAGTGCCTTCACGACGGACCGAGCCGTTTGTATATTAGTCAAGCTCCGCATCGCAAGCTCTGTCTCATGCACGTCCATGCCTCTGCGTAAAGCAAAAAACCAAATTGACTTGTCATGCATAACTTATGTATCAGGGGCGTCATAGTACCCCCACCCAAACATTGCAACTTTGAAACGGACCCCCTTTACATGCGCCACGAAGCTGCAATCGTTGATGCCTTCACAGAGGAGAAAACAAGGACCCTGCTCATTAAGCCGGTGTATCGGCGCCAGCGCACTGGTGCTTAGAAGTGATTCTGGCGACCCGAAACTGCCACCTATCTTTGAATGCGGAAGCCTGCCAGGCACCCAATCACGTATGTCTTCTGGAAGTGTGGAAAAGTTCCTGTCCTGCGGGAGAGGTTGGCTTCCCACAGGCGAACATATTCTCACTTCATCGCCATCATCACCATCCTTATCATCCAGATGCTGCGCGTAGGTAAAGGCTCTTGACTAAATGCTTGGATTCTTAGGGCATGCCATCTGAAAAGAACCGCTAGGGGATTTTGATGGGTAATGTCTTAAAAATGGTTGGTGGCCGCAACTTCCCATGGAACAAGATGTCCACCAAAAGGCCCGGTTAACATTCATACCCGTCTCAGGTTTCCCGGTGCTTCGAAACAAATCACATGCATTGCGCCTGAAGATGCTCACAACCTACGCCGAGGCGCGGTTCCTCGATCATCTGCTGCCACTGCCAATGGCGCTGGACGCGGAAGCGGCAGCAACAGCCTGAGGATTCATGGGACAACAGGGCACAATGCTGTGGATGAATCTAGCTGGAAAATACACTCTGAAAGAAAAAGGGCCCTCTAGCAACATTGGACACTATTATCACCTGATGCCTCCGAGTGGGTCGTTGCGCAAAATTGGGATCAGAATCTAACCAGCGTTTGCATGGAGAGCGTTTGCACCTCCAACCCCCTGGAATGGTTTGACACTACGAACCCTTCTTGGGGTTACCCGCAGAAGAAAGTAGAGGGATCTCCTTCATCTTCTATACTGCCTTCTCAGGCGCCATGAATCTGTACAGTTGCTGGCTTTGAGGATGACAAGCCTTGATCCAACGTCCGCGAATTGCAACACACATGGAGCAGATTTGGGAAGTGGCCTTTCTATATCCTGCATCACTTTTTGTTTCAACCACTTCCAGGCAAAGCCCTGCTGGCCTTTTGCTGCTTGGGAATTTGTGACTTTAATGCCTGGCCTTAAATTGCCTTTGATTGGTGTCTCTGTGAGAATGTAGGTGCCCACGCTCGAAGACGTAGTGTGTGTGTGTGTTTTGCGGGCGCTCTATATCCTTTTCGGAAGTACTTCGTCCATGTGAATTAGTGGGAGGGAAGCTTCAAAAAGGACACATACAACCAACTAAGCTAGGGTCCTGCTTCGGAGAATCACATACTCTCCTGAGCGTTTTTTGTTGTTTTCTTCTTTTCTGCGCCAATACTCACGGAAGCAAATCTTGCAAACCATGCGCCGCGGAAGGTTTGCGGAAGCAAACGATGAAACACATGTGCCGCGGAAGTTCGCGGAAGGGACCTCTTGGCCCGCGGCAAGGATGCGGAAGGGTCCGCGGAAGCTTGAATAATGTCCAAGCAAGTTTGTAGGCTGCAGCCTGTGTAGGCTTGGGCTCCATTGGGCTCCCATGCTACGCGGGCACTTGCCTGCAAACACAGGGCCACCATTCGGCGGATCTTGCGCGAACTTTCCGCAAAACTTCCGCAAACTACGCCGGCTGTTTTGGTCTTCTTGGCCTGCTGTTGGCAACTGCTCTTCCAGTAAGCGTTGCGTTTCTTGTACGCAGCAATACCTTTCTTCTTCTGCTGTAATCGTTTCTCCCTGCTTTTCCATTCACGCAAACTGAAACATTTAATTTCATATCAGCCACGAAGCTTCCGCAAACCTTCTTCGAAGAAATCCCTAAAACGTGGCACCTGAAACAAGCGCCCCCTAAATGGAGTTGTTTTGTGCTTTGGGGCCTTTTTGGGGTTGGTTGAACGTCTGTCAACAACACGTTTCATCAGTTCGCCCACTCAACAGGTATTTTGCCATAGCTCAAAATGAGTGACCTCCAACATGGGGGTGTGGGTGTCCATTATTGATTCCCCTCAAAAGCTCATGAAAAGGCCAACCCACACAAATCCGCTGAGCATCGAAAATCATCTATTTCTTCGCCTTTAGCGTCTGTTTGCTTTGCCTTTCCTTTGCCTAAAAGTCAGAAGTGGAAAAAAGTCGTACTTTTCTGGCCCAATTCCATGAAAGGCGCTCCCTTTCCCATTGACTCCCCTTGACTCCCTTTCGGCCTTCCAACCTTCGACTCCCCGCCTTCCAGGCTGGGCAGGCGCCGAGTTGCGGCGGGCTGTTTGCGCCATGTCCTGGAAGGAGTCTGAGATATCCTGGGGGTTTTCAGGCACCCTCCTTCTTACGGGAAGCGCTAAGCCTGGAACAATAATGGATGGATGGGGAGATTTTGGGGTTCCAGGGCGCCTTCTCTGACCGAGGGCTCTTTTGCCGCCCATAAACAGGGCTACGCATGCGGAACTGTTATCCAGGAATCTCGAACTCAGGCTCCATGCCCCACTCAGGAACTGAGGAATTGTCAAGCCTTGTGACAGTATTTCCTTGGCAACTCACAGAAACTGGGATTCCCAAAGTGCTGCGCTGCTTCCCTTTGCCAAAGTGAAGAATCCTCAATGGCGCAAGGCTGCAAAGGCTTCAAGATTCCACATGGCCCAACAGCACGAGAGCTTTTTGTCCTGATATGTGCAAAGTCCCGACGTCAATTGCGCAGACGCGAACTCAAGCTCCATAGAGCTCAGCTCTTGTGCCGTTCGCTTGAAATGTCAGTTCCGGGCCGCTTTGCGCTTCAACTGTCAAGACCGCGTCAGGTTCTACTCGCAGAAGTGTTTCAGTCAGTACTCGTGGCAAGCTGTAGACTGGCTGGGGATTTCCCAGCCGCCTGCAAAACATCCCTCGCCGTATCCAAAGTTTATCCAATGGGATCGGCGGGGTCCATGGCAGAACGCCAACAAGACGCCAAGACCTTGAGGGCTCCAAATCGCTCAAGGCAGTTAATTTTAGATTGATCCAGGCTGTCTAAAACCACCAAAAGGGTTTGAAATATAGAGAAAACACATGTCCCACAATAGCCCGTTTGAAGACGAAACCTCCGCCATCCATTCCCAAATGTGTCCTTTCGGGCTCCGCGCGGGTCACGTAGGGGCTCTAGAAAACCAGGAGTTACTCGTTACTCGCGCTGTAGCACCAAGCTTTTGAGTCTGGAGCCCTGGAAAGGCCTGAAGCACATCTTCGACAGGACGACATGAGTCTTGGCCGCATGTGCTGTCGAAGTCGTGCGGCAACTGGTTGGACCATTTTGGGCATCAAGATTTATGCGGGCCCCACAAGAAGCCCAACGAACATTGACTTAGCTCAATCAAAGTGGGGATCTCGAAACCACTTTGTGGGAGATGTCCCATCAAACATCCATTTGGAGAGCAACACTAGGCAGGATGTCACTTTCATGCCCAGCTATGTACCCCCACTCTACTGCCCAATGACATTGAAATGCTGGCCCCATCACGGCAGGCCTAGCCAAGCAAGAGCTGCGTTCGATAAAGCCGCCACGATCCGCCTGTGCCCCTATGTCAACTGGGCCCTTGGTGGACCAAGCTGTATTCTGCTCCACGCAACGTCAACCAGATACGGGCCTTGTCTCAAAAAGGAAATATCAAGCCCCCCCCCCCATGGTTTCCCTTGAAATACCCATCCAAAAAGTGGGTACCGAGCCCGAGCCTCAAAAAAGACGAGCCACCCCAGGGACGCAGTTTGGAATGTTGAATATAGTTTAGTAAGGATATCGGGTTCAAACATGTGTTTATGTTCAACAAAGGCTTAAACAAGCAAATCCTTTCCAAATAGGGCAACATGAAAATGTAAATATAGTTTCGGGTGAACTCGAACTAATCGTTAACAAAAGACGTTAAATAGGAGTTCATTCCCAAATGCAATCTGAGTGCTTTGTATGTTCTGATACGAACACCATTCCAATAGCTTCTGATAATAACAATCAAATAGAGACAACTTCTGCAATATAATTCATGTTAAATATGCCTAAACACTTAAGGGATTTCTACAAGGAAATTCCAAATACGATGTGTTATTTACATACTGGCCCTTTTGTAGCATGAGAAAGGTCCGAAATTGAACTTGTTAGACGGTGTTCCAACGGGAAGTTTCAAGGGAAAAGAGAGAGGTTCAAATTCTGAGACTATCTCGAAACAGGGATTCTAGCCAAATCAGTTGCATTTAAAGTTCTGTTTGCACAGGAAAACAAAAGTCATTCTATCTCAAAAGGTGGAGGTAGTAGATGTGCAAATGTGGACAGGTAGTTCAAGAGGGGGAGGGGTGTGGACAAGTAGTTCAAGAGGGGGAGGGGGTGACGGTGTGAGAATATACACATGTATACATATATATATACACACATATATATATATACATTTGCATACAGGTACATACACACATGTATAGTACCCCTAATGATCCGCGCTTCTTCATAAAACACTGTAAAATATGTGTCTTTACACCTACCTTTGTTTACCTCCTGGAAAAGGGTCTACATGAGCATAGCTGACATGAAGCAAGCTGCTCACCAAAAGCACTTTAAAGTTTGTTTAGCTGATAACTTGAAAGTGTGTCCACTGGATCGCTAAGCACTTGAAAGTATTTTCCCGCTGGATGGAAGACTCAAGACTGAAGACTACACAGAAAACTTTCCTGAGAATTGTCAATCCTGGCCAAACCCAAACAACATTCAAATTATTCTAACACTTGAAAGTGCTTTACCACTGGATTGAGGATGCAATATTGAGGATTGCACAAACAACAACTTTCCTGAAAATCATCCATCCCGGTGAAACACTAAAAATGTTCAAGTTGTTCTACAATCTAGAACGTAGTTTCCACTGGATTGAAGATTTGAGATTGAGATAGTTCACGGAAAGCTTATCCGAGAAACTTACTGACCACCGAGAGTATTGGGACAACCCTGTTTTTTCTTAAAAATAAATAAATAAACAAATCAGAGATTCAAGATTCAAGATTCACAGAACATCTTCTCTCAGATCTTGAATTTTGAATCTTGAACCCATAATTTGTTTAACAAATTTAGAAGTGTCTGAGTTGCTCTGAAGCTCTTGGACGCATTCAAACTCTTGCAGATCGCAGATTCTGATGTCGTTGCTTTATTACATATGCATGCATGCATGCATGCATACATAAAATCCAAGAGGCAAAAACAAACGTAACACACCGGAAACATACAGGTCAAACACACCAAACCAGCGTCCATGGGGGGCACCATATATGCAAATATGTACACAACCATTGCGTGTATGTATGTATACACAAACTAGACAGGCGATGCAGTAAACATGAACGCACAAACAGGCCTGTGTTTGTGTACGAATATATATATATATATATAAATATATATTTTCTATATATTTGTGAGTATAAATAAAAATACATACGTAAATAAATAAACAAATTAAAACTTAAGTGCACCAAAAATAAGAGAGCCGGTAAAGTCAAAAACATCTATCCTTGTGCAACAAATAGGCCACAGTTCCAGGGCCCAAATCAAACTGGGACAGCGATTCCGGGCGGATGTCACGAGTCGCAGCACCGAGGATAGCCGACGAGCCAGAACGGCTCTTCGGAGCGTAGCTCCGATGGATCGAGGCGGCAAGTAGTTGCTAGCAACGTGTTGCTCCAAAATCCCTGGACGGGTTTCTACATGTCAACCTTTTACAAGGAAATAAGGACATCTGTCCAAGTTTCAAGCATGAGGCTTGGTCTTCCTGAGCTTCGGAGCAACCCGCTGCTTCAATACTGGAATTCCACATGGTGTTCAATCAACCGGAAACCAAGCATTTCAGGCGTCCCTGTTTGCAGGAGAACTCGTTCGGCTATCTTCATGGGGAACCTCGCAATTGGCGGTCATGAGCCCCCCATTGAAAACATGTTATCTAATTTGGCTTTACGTGGCTGACACGGGAATGCAAAACATTGGACGCATTTTGGGTGTAAATGAGTCACGAGCAATGGACAATCTTAACAGGGTATCTTCCAGCAAATGTTTTTAGGAAACATACCCCCCTGCAGATTTGCATGGATTGCTGCTTTCAGGCAGGCCCACGTTTTCAAGTGTGCCAAACATCAGCTTGCCAGCGTTTTTATGTTGTCAAGCCTAGGCCACCTACAGTGCAAACCTGGGCACAAAGCCGCTAACAACTTTTCACACTGCGCACTGCTAGTGAAGTCTCCAGCCATGCATACAGCATTCCACACCCCTTCATATGAGATCGCAGATGGAAGATGCTACGGCAGGTTAACTCTTCAAAAGCAAAGGTAAGTATTCTAACATCATCAAATTACTGCTGCTCTCATGGGTGCGCATTTGAGATGGACTTTGCCTTCTCCAGCTCGTAGACCAGGACGCTCCAATCCCATCCCTGCTGGCGGCTGTACGGTTGCAAACGCGCCGGTCGAAAGAGAATGAGCTTGTGTGTGGCCTTTGCGTCGCAGTGCGAAGGGCTTTGGAGCTGTCGTCAGCACCCTGCTGCAACTGACGTTTTGCCTGAGCCAACGCACCGGCCCGTGCATCCTCGCAAGTCTCTTTGATCTCAGCCTCAGTTGCCGGGGGCGTTGGGAACTTCTGACCGAAGGTGAGGATATTGCGCATGGCGCGGAACACATTGACCTGGCCGATGAACTGCTTCATGCTCAGCACGTTCTAGGGAAAAAAACCAAGGGGCTCCAGCGCGAGGTCAAGCCTCCACGAATCCAAAGGTGATATCCAGGTCCTACTCCAAGAAGCCGTTGATCGTGCGTTCGAGGAAACTCAGGAAGAATGCAGTACTTGTAGAGAGACATCTGGCATGGAAGCCCGCACGCCCGCGTTGTGGGAAGCTGGGTAAACAGGGTGTATGGAGAAGTAGGAGTGCTTCCTTTCACTTTCAGTTGTACTCTGCTCGGAACAAAGCCAGTCTTCGCGATGTCCAGAGGCGAAAGACTGTGCCCAAGCACACGGGCAGCCTTAGGAAGGTTTCCCGAAAACCGCCTTGGCAAGCACAAACTCGTTCCGGCTGACGTTGCCGTCAGCTTTGAAGACCGTCTCATCGTGGCCCTGGCTGGCGCGCACCTTCAACACAAGCCAGTACTGATTGTGCTCAGCCGCGCTCGGATGCTTGATGACCAGCACTGTGATGCGCATCTTTGGGTTCGTGGCAATGATGCTGAGGAGCTGTCTCATTCAAATTATTGAAAGGGTCTTCTTGTTGAACTGCCGGATCAACTCATGTGCATGGAAACAGCACTGATCACCGAACTCAACCGGGTTCATGTCCTGCCCACGAATGATACCGCTGAGAGTGCTGAGACGATCGCTGGACTGCTGCTCGCCTTCATGAACTGAGGAACATTCAGGCGTAATGCGAGCCTCATACTCCTTGCCGCCGTAGGTGATGACACCCGAAATTCTGCCTGGCAACTCGAGGTTGCCTTCTGCTTTGCCGCCGTGGAAGAAGCTGGCATTTACTTCACAGTCATCGCCTCGGCTCTACCTTGCGGGAGCGCTAATATCCTCCTTGACATCGATCTCCTGCACGGCTTCGCGTGCAAGGGTAGTCGGTTTTTGAACCAGGTCTTCATGAGTCTTGTGCTCGGTAGCGGGGATGGGGATCAGACTGGAGTTGGGTTGTGGAAAAGAGCTTCAGGTTCCTCGGGCGTGCCACCCGCCCGCTACGCACCCACCCGCGCACCCATCAGCCATCATGCATCCCCATCCCATCCCATGCCATCCGTCCATCCGTCCATCCATCCTTCCATCCGTCCATCGAGTACATCCATCCATCCTGCTCGGTGGATTGTCATGTCATTCACAAATTGGGTGTGTGTGTGTGTCGTGTGTGTGTGTGTGTGTTGTGTGTGTGTTGTGCGTGTTGTGTGTGTGCGCAGAGCATCAGATTCACCCTGAGGCCCGTCACAAATTTGAGATGCAGGGAAGTGTGGCATGACTGAGGGACCGCGCTCGACGAGGTTACCTCAGTCATGGGACACCGGATCTGATCAAACCGGCGGGCGTACCTGCGACAGTGATGTAAAGTCCTTTTGGCCCTGTTTCTCTTGCTGTGTGTGCTTCATGTTGAATCTGCAACGTTATCGAACCTAGAGGGAAGCCATCGGTGCCGCCACTCGAAACCTACCCACTCGACTCTCGAATTCAAACCTGCTCGAAGGTTAGAGCCCTCCCTCAAGTGCGTTCACCCCGTCTTGGGGGACCCTCAGATGCACCCATCGTGTGGCTCCGGGAGTGCCTCGTTGCACAAGACCGGCAAATGGCCGTCGCCACCACGGAAGGGGTACTCCAGCTTGTCGACGATGCAGCCCCAATGCCCGGCCCGACAAGCTCATTGCCTGACCAGCACATGACGACGTACAAGTCATGGTCCTTGAAGCGCTCCTCCTTCTTCTTGGTCTTCATCTCCAGCTTCACGACCACGCCAGGTGCGGGAGCGAACAATAAAATTCACATAGGGGCCGGCTGCACGTCCTTTTGCAGAAACGGCAGAAGCTTGTGCTTTGCTGTTGGGAGCAGGTTGTGGTTTTGTGTTCTTGTCCAACTGCACCCAACGAACTCCAATAAGATTGCACGCGTGTTCCCACTTCATTGTGCTCGTACAAGGCTTCGCCAAAATGTCCGCAACTTGGTCCCAGTATTGACATTGACGAGGCTGAAGTGGAGAACTGCTCTTTCAACCATGCCAAAGAAGTTCACTGCGTTCCATCTGCGTGCTTTGCGCGGAATTTCCAGTCTGAATGATGCGAACGGTCGCCAAGGCAACCTTGGGCTTCTCATTGAGATGGACGTTCAAACCACGAAGAGGCGCAACGGATTTTCATTTTGCTCAACGTATGTTATTCAACTCGGGGTCAACATACACCAATACTGGGTTACTCCCCTGACAGCCTGGAAATGGCACCGGCTTGGCGTTGCCACCAGCTTGCTGCTTTGCCTTGGGAGCATCAAGCAATTCCCACAACACACTCATAAGTGAAAGAAGAGACGGAGAGAGAGAGAGAGAGAGAGAGAGAGAGAGAAAGAGAGAGAGAAAGAGAGAGAGAAGGAGCAAAGAGAGAGCAAAGAGAGAGCAAAGAGAGAAAGAGAGAGAGAGAGAGAAAGAGAAAGAGAAATGAAAGAGAAAATAAAAAGAACAGGGAGAGGAAAACAGAAAGGAAAGATAGAGAGAAAAGAGAGAGAGAGAAAAGAGAGAGAAGAGAGAGAAAATAAAGAGACAAGAAACAGAAAAGAAAGAGAAAAGAGAGAGAGAAAAGAAAGAAAAAAGAAAGAGAAAAGAGAGAGGCAGAGAGAGAGAGAAAAGAGAGAAAAGAGAGAAAAGAGAGAAAAGAGAGAAAGAGAGAGAGAGAGAGAGAGAGAGAAAAGAAAGAGAAAAGAGAGAGAAAAGAGATAGAAAATAAATAGAAAAAAAGAGAAAGAGAGAGAGAGAGAGAGAGAGAAAAGAAAAAGAAAAGATAAAGAAAAGAGAGAGTAGGCAACCCTTGCGCTCGCTCAGCATGATTCGCAGCAACAACTTCGGCCTCAGTTGATGACATTGCGGTACTGGTTTGCTTCTTCAAAAATGCGTTGATGGGGTAGTACATATGCGTTTTTCAGCAAACTCGAAACCCGTGCCGAGAACGCGATATGGGCAAGATGTCGCGGCAACTCTGGGTGAACTTAGAAGTTCGCTCTTAACTTCCATAAGTGAGCTTACAAATGCTGTTTCATAAGCTAGGTTATAAGTTGAATTAGTAGTTCACATGTTCCATAAGATATTTCCAACGTAGTGGTTTGCTCACTGACCACCTTCTCTGTCCGATCTGCGATCGCCATCTCAATTTGTATATGCTTCGAACATGCATTTTTGAGCTCTTTGCTGGTTGATGAACTGCTCGCGCTGTTCGGATTTGTCTGCAACAGCGTTGTCGACCTCGGCAGAGATTGCTCCCCGCATATGGTTCACCTGAGCATGCAAGAAAGTGCGGCATTTTATGAGCTGCTCCTGCATTTCCAGAGACTTGCGACTGTTCTCCTTGTCCAGGCGTCGAACCGTCTCGGCCAAATGGGCGCAAGACTCAGCCTTTGCTGCATCCATAGCTACAGCATCGTAGTTCGTTCGCTTCATCCCGCACAACGTCGCGCGTGCCTGTATGTACGCGCAGCACGTTTATGGCGTGGTAGTTCGTGGCAAAGCCGAAAGCATTGGGCTCATCATTTGGATCAGCGCGTCCCGGCGCAGCCAATGAACTGCTTGCATCACCATCGCTATCTCCGGCAATATTGTATACCGCAGGATTCTGGCCTGATTGCATGGCGGTCTGTACAAGCCGTACGGCTGATAACGTGTGTTATCAAGCCTGGGCCACCGACAGTGTAAACCGAGGCACAAAGCCGCTAACAACTTTTCACACTGCGCACTGCTACTGAAGTCTCGAGCCATGCATGCAGCATGCAAGGTGCTAAGGGTTGGATCTGCATTCCACAGTTTTTCCAAGTTTGCGGAATCCAGTCTGGGCGGTCTCCTACTGCTGCTCAAAAACTGGGCGAGTCTCATCTTCCTAAAATGTTTGGTCATTTCAGACACTCGGGACATGAGTCTACAGGTGGACATAGGAAGTTCAATGTATTGACAAATCCGCCGAACCTATCTGGTCCCGGTAGAGGAGTTGAAGGGGTGAGACAAATCCTAGCCAAGCTAAAACTAACAGCTTTTCACGAAAACTAATATGTAACAAAAGCATCGTTTTGGGGTTCCATGCGTGTCAGCAACGTATCCCGATGTGAGCGCCCGTTTCACCCGGGTTTATACAGGGATTGATTGACCTGCTTGGGCCATTTAAGCTCGGTGAAATGCAACTGGACATCGGATCGCCTGAGACAACTCAATCGCAAGTGTTTTGGGACCACGGATCTAGTAGAACCCGTCCTATTAGGGGTTTGTTCTCCCAAAGTGATGATTCCCCAATCTAAATTAACCAGAGGGTTTGTTCATCCGGAGTTTCCATAGGGTGATCGTGAACGGGCATGTGATAAAGTTTCACACCCTGTACACAGTGTTCTTCCGCTTTCCACAGAACTTTCAAAAGCACTTTCAGAAGCACACCAATGGAATTCTCGAGACACACGCTCCATGTGCATCAAAACTGCCACACGAAGGCTTAAAGAATTTGGACCAATGAGTTCTGGGAGGAACTGGCACCTTAGCATCAAAGCGATTGTGTGGAAGCACCACGATCCGAAATGTAGTTGGAAGTCAGAAGCGCGAACTTTGGACATTTGCGGGCTGCTGTGCCACCTGCACCAAATGGTTGCTGGAAATAGCCTCTGTTCTAAATGATGCTCAACATAGGGTTCCTCCGGTTCTTACTCATTCCCATTTCTATTCTTGGCCGGGTTTTGCGGCAGGAAGTAGGAACTTCCAAATGCCTCTACTATTGAATCTATCCTGAGGGGGGTCCCTTGCAGACATGGCAGACCTACCCATGGCAGACCCACAAAACCTTTCTTGGAATCACCCCCTTTCAGAAAGTGAAAGAATCTTAAAGAGTTGAAAAAACTTTATAGAAGAACCTCTTCATCTAAGGCCAACGTACCAAAATGTTGGGCTTGCCCAGGAAGCAAATATCCTGATCCACTGGCCCAGACCTTACCAAGCGGAGGCCTTTTTCAGAGGACCCACAACCTGAGACACAATTTGGTTCTCCAAGAGGCCGACCCAAGAAGCGAAGTTGCGATCAAGCCCAGCGAGCTTTCGCGGAGCTTTCGCGCGAGGTTTATGACAGCCGGCCTTACTCGAGTAAAGGAGGCAGCTGTTAACTCGGCAGCTCCAATAACAGCCTAGTACACTGGCAAGCCACTATAGAGTAGGTATATATTCGGGTGTACACGGAATATCCAGCTTACCCTCGGTTTGTTGCTTGCTTTCTTGCCGGGTTCTAGCTGATGGAATATCCTCTATCCTCTTTACCTTATTTTTGTCGGAAGGGGCACCAAAAGTTGAGCTCCAAACAGTCGCCCCAAACCGCTCGATTTCGCTCGGCCTCAAAGGGCGTCCAAATGCCCCAAGATGATGGACCGCGTGTAGGGGCATTGGCCAGCGAGCCTCTGCAGCCTCAAACGACTCCTTGGGTCCTAGACGCAAAGAAAGGCGGAACTCGAAAAAAATGGTTTGGGGTACTTGCATGAACTCAACCAACTTGTAAGTAGATGTAAGTAGCTTGTGACCATTTTTTTAAGGGGCCTAACCCCAGTTACCTAAGTAAAAACCATGGTTGTAACCCTAGTTACTCAGTTGCCTGAACATCCAAGCGCCCTGAAAACCCAAGCTGCTCATGGACTTCAAATGAGCCCTGCTTACAACGTAGGCGGGGGGAACTTTCAATCCCAGGTTTGTGCTTTTACTCATGGCCGGGGCCAGGTTTGAAGTCCTCTGAGCAACTATTCATCGCGTAGAGCTGTAAATACAACACAGGAAGACCTTCTGCATGAATATTTGCTTTGCTTCCACTCACTTCCTAAGTGGATTGGTGCAAACAAGTCCAGACTTATCGCAGGAACAGCACGACATGCGATCCATTCTAACCCATCGCAAGGAGACAGTTCTTGGGTTCAGTCCACTGGCAATCTCACGAACGCAGCATCGGCAGTCCTGGATGTTTTCCATGACGGCACGAACCACCTGTTTGGTCCTGTCCCGAGTTTGCTTCCGAGGTCGTTTCTCCAACGAGGCAGCTGCGTGCTTGTGGCAAAAGCCACAAGCGTCGCTGTCGCAGCCACGGCTGGAGGCGAAGAACACGCAAGGGCTGCAATCCCCTGGCAGGGCAGTCACCTGGTCAAAATGCGCTGGCTCACTGTGACGTCATTTCCAATTCTTTGAGATTAAAATCATCTGAGCAAAATGTGAAGGGTCATATCCAAGGGCGAGTCGCGCTGCTCTCGTTGGAGACTTCGCAACGCACCTTTGAGGAACGCACTTTCGAGGAAGACTCTGGTAAAGGAGGCGGCCGCGACGCTTTATGCACCCGGGGGCCCTCGGACCAGCTCCGACCTCGTGGTTGGCGCAGCTCAAGCTCCTATGAAAGACAGCAAAAACCAACACTTTTTCGGGGAGCTCAGAGTTGAAAGCGGACGAAGTTACACGCGGCGATCCCAATTGTGAGGAAACAAGGGCGAATCCACATGCCTGGACCCTCACCTACCCTTTGACTTTTTGGGCAGTGCTGGTTGTTCCTAGGGGTGTGCTTCTAGATAATGCGTGTTTTCCATTTTTTCCCCAGGGTCAAACTATGATTCACGATTTGTTGCATGCCCACATCAAAGGCGTTGATCAAGGCCAACGCCGCTACTTGATTTGGCGCTTGTACGGCGCAGTGAACAACCTGCCAAAGAAAACCATCGTGGCCCCTAGCGGACTCGGCCCAAAGTGCTTGAATGCCAACACTGTATGTGTGAGAATAGTCGAAGGAAGTTTAGAAGGAACATCCGTAGCACGGACACTGGTGAAAGCTAGTCTTGGCCCCTCACAGGAGTTTTGAGGATATCTTTACGTTTGTGTGGATTTGTGCAACATCTTGTTGGTCTGTAGGTTTGAATTCTACCTTAGAGGTCTTCACAAGATATCTGTACAATATGCTTTTGCAGCATCTCGACAAAATCTCTGTTTAAGATCGCTTGGCAGGACCCTTGCAAGATCTCTTTGCAAGGCTGCAAGGTCTCCTTACATGACTCTCAAAAAAGACCTCTGTTTGGCTCAGAGTACAGACCCTACATCCTTCCAGTCAACATAGATGGGTGCATCTAAAGCAGGGAATCCCAGTTTAATATGAACATACCATAGGTCTGTGTTCAAGTGAAAACAGAACACAGGTAAACAACCTGTTGAACCCGAGGACCCCTTACTCACCAAACGGCAAAGAAAACTCACTTAATTTCCCAAATCAAGAGGTGACGCTTGGAGATATGACGTGGGTGGAAATCAACAAGAACGCGCAGCCATAGACCCCTTCGGCTTTCAGCTGAGGAAAAAGCCCAAAGGGATTGCCCACTAATCATCTTGTGCAGGCAGTTTGACCCAGACTAACCTTGCCAAAGTGGTCCTCAGGGAGGAGCACATCCAGGAAGGTGTTGTGCTCAAAGATCTGCAACGCCATAGTCGGTTAGGAAAGAGGCGCCAGCCCAACCTACCCACCCAAAATGTCCAAAGTGCTGCGCGGAAGCGAATAAAGCGAAGATTCGCCAACCTGCAACTAGACATGAAGGTATTTGGAAGCTTCATGGACAGCGCATGCCGAAATCTTTGGGTGGCGTCACTTGGCCAAAACAAGAACATGTCTGTGAGAAACCACAATCCTACCATTGGCTTGATCCACAAACAAGGCTGCTCCATAGAGCTTGGGATTAATTGGGGCCCAACCATGTCGTGCGTTTGGGGAAACATTGGGGCGCGCAGCGGCCCGAATATCATCTGGCAACGATACTTAGAGCGATGCCAGCGTACTTGCACAGGGTTACAACCCGCGAAATTGGAATTACCCATTGGGATCCTAACGCAACCCCAGACAAGGCAGCCCAAAGAGTGATAAACCGGGATTACCAGGTTTGACATCATGGTTTCAGCAGGTTACCCAAATGTCTGTATGGGGATCCACCATACCAAGCTCTGTGTCTCCTTTAATTACACATCACCCCGAAGGAAAAGCATCTCCTACTTGCAGCCAAAAGGTGATGATTGAAGTAGCCAAGGGCACGGCCTCTTTCTGAGGTCTCAAACCTAATGGAGGTCCTGAGCCCTTTATTTGGCTGTGGGTCAAAAATATGTACCCAAAATGGAATCCTGGTAAATGGACACCTGCGGTCCCCGGATGGTTTAGTTTTGACCCATACCCATGTTTGGTCCTTTCCGATGCTTGAGGGTAGTGACTTGCGGTTCGGTGCGGCCGCGTCCTGGCTTCTTGCCGCGTGTCATCCGACACCAACAGGTTGGCTCCGCGGTTCCGCGCACCTCAAAAGGAGCATGGCTACAAAGGACCATCACATAGACCAATCTGGTTTAAACAGCATGGTCTTTGCTTTGCTCCTCGCGTTTTTGGGTCGATGTGACATTGTTTGTTGTCGAAACAACAAAACAAACATGTCAATGCATGTTCCTGGATTCTAACTGCCAGACGGCATATTCCAAGTGCTGGTTCACTGCTGTACAAGCTGTTGCATGGCGTACTCGATCGAAATTAGTTGAAGACATAAAATCTATGTAATGACGCGCAAGCAAACTGCTCCATTCAGAACAGATTCAGAACCTGGCACTTAGCAGGACTAAGCAAGTGACACGCCAGCAAACTGCTCCATTCAGAACAGAATCAAAACCTGGCACTTAGCAGGACTAAGCAGGCAACACGCCAGCAAACTGCTCCGTTCAGAGCAAAACATCTTTCGAGACTCCAGACCACCCAAGCCATCTCTCCAAACAACCCAGCAAAGCTCCGTAAATGATCATCAACCAAAAATCATCAACCAAAACACTTCCAAGGATTCGGATCCTTTGAGTCGACTGATCCTTGGACGACTTGCTCACTGTCAGGTATTACTTCATGGGAAGTACTATACCCTGCCTTTACAAGGGCTGTCCACAAAAAGGGGACCGTAGGGAAAATCGAGAAAATCCATGGCCCCAGCCCGTCTCTCCACGAGGCACGCGGGTTCTGCCAATGCTTGCGCCGTGGCATGCGAGGCTTGGCAAAGAGCTGCACCTGGATTGTGCCGTGGGGGATGTGGGTTATGCACGTGATTCTGCGGTGTTGCGAACACCACAATATGTGGGATCATAATAGCGGGTCCCCTTCAATCCATAAAATGAGCAGGTTTTCCCTTAAGATCGGGCTAAACTGGGTGCCTCAAGAACCACAATCCGACCATGGTTGTGGACCTTCGACCCTCACCAATTTGAACCATACATAAAGGACACAACAACCCAATTGAATCTGTGACCCTGCCGTCCACCAGACGGAATCACTTTAGTTTCCCCCCAACAAAAGCACCCTGTCTGTGATACCAACGTTCATGTAGTGACTAAGAGCCATTGGGCCATGAAGTACCATCAAAGGCCATATCCCCCCCATGCCCCTTAGCAAATTTCCTTGGCCACTCGCGGAGAGTGGTCAAGGTAACCCCGAGTTTCCGCAGCAACTCACCTGTAGTCCTTGGGAACGAACGGCTCGCGCATTGGTCAACAAAATGTCTGGACTTTGCCACTCAAATGGTCCGAAACACAAACTTTTAAGCCCACGGACTTGGAGCGCAGCTCCTTCTGACAAAACCGCTGGCCATTTGCATTCGGAACATTCCTCAGGTGAGAGATAGTTATTCTACGCATTCTACACACTTGCCAGCTGTCCTAAGCAGGGCAACAACAGAACTCTTCTCGATATCGGCCTAGATAACTTCCATCATAACTTCCATCATTTCGGCAAGCCATGGCACTCCAAGAAAAAGGGATTTGTTTGTGAGATTCTGAATGCGAAAAACATTTGCTAGCTAGAAGCACTTACGCCGGTTTACCATCCCGAAATAGAAAGCACTTCCTGGAAACACGCTATACTGACTATTGTCCAACATACTTCAGATTCTCAAGAATTAAATCAAGCCAACTACATT